CAGATATCGAGGCCAGGGGCTGCAACGTACATGTTCCTGTGATGTAATTATATTTTATGGTGATTAATTCGTTCTGTGTTTTCTCGTAGGGTGTTAATAATGTATCACTCAACATACACTCAATAAGTGTGTCCTCATGATATCAATGGAGGATCTTGTCCATTGAGAGTTCGCATTTCGTCATTTTTAACGCCGAACTCTGCAATAGTCAAGCTGTATGACGGCGGCCTGTAAATAATCGAGTGTGGAACAGACAATTCAGTGATTGATATTATGAGCAACATTCCGAGACGTTGGGATACGAAGAATGCCATCAACCAAGTCACCGAGCCAGACCCCCTGATTCATTAAGTCGCCTCATACGACCAGCGCAGGTTCATAGGGACCAATTCTAACCCGGAATTCCCATGGGGCTACGGGCACAATAAGGTGCCGCTTGAAGAACAGCTGTAGTACTATTGTACATCTTCATCATGTAAGATTAAAGCGTTCGTTCGTCACGCTCCTTTCTGCACACGGGACCACTGTGTGTATTTTCTGATGTCCCCTCTCGCGATGTTGCGGCAGTGGTGCTAAATGGGGCTCTAAACTCACTTTCACTCTTTTCAACCCTTGCCTCCTCCCGCGAGGATCCGGGTTTGAAATGGTCTTCAGTAAGCCATGCTTGTCTCCCCCTGTGAGGATCCTGATCAGAAATGGTTTTCAGTAAGCCATGCTAGTCTCCCCCTATGAAGATCCTGATCAGAAATGGTCTTCAGTAAGCCATGCTTGTCTCCCCCTGTGAAGATCCGGGTTAGAAATGGTCTTCAGTAAGCCATGCTTGTCTCCCCCTGTGAAGATCCGGATCAGAAATGGTCTACAGTAAGCCATGCTAGTTTCCCCCTGTGAAGATCCGGGTCAGAAATGGTCTTCAGTAAGCCATGCTTGTCTCCCCCTGTGAAGATCCGGGTTAGAAATGGTCTTCAGAAAGCCATGCTTGTCTCCCCCTGTGAAGATCCTGATCAGAAATGGTCTTCAGTAAGCCATGCTTGTCTCCCCCTGTGAAGATCCGGGTCAGAAATGGTCATGAGTAAGCCATGCTTGTCTCCCCCTGTGAAGATCCGGGTTAGAAATGGTCTTCAGAAAGCCATGCTTGTCTCCCCCTGTGAAGACCAGGGTTAGAAATGGTCTTCAGTAAGCCATGCTTGTCTCCCCCTGTGAAGACCAGGGTTAGAAATGGTCTTCAGTAAGCCATGCTTATCTCCCCCTGTGAAGATCCTGATCAGAAATGGTCTTCAGTAAGCCATGCTTGTCTCCCCCTGTGAAGATCCGGGTCAGAAATGGTCATGAGTAAGCCATGCTTGTCTCCCCCTGTGAAGATCCGGGTTAGAAATGGTCTTCAGTAAGCCATGCTTGTCTCCCCCTGTGAATTTCCTGATCAGAAATGGTCTTCAGTAAGCCATGCTAGTTTCCCCCTGTGAAGATCCGGGTCAGAAATGGTCTTCAGTAAGCCATGCTTGTCTCCCCCTGTGAATTTCCTGATCAGAAATGGTCTTCAGTAAGCCATGCTAGTTTCCCCCTGTGAAGATCCGGGTCAGAAATGGTCTTCAGTAAGCCATGCTTGTCTCCCCCTGTGAAGATCCTGATCAGAAATGGTCTTCAGTAAGCCATGCTTGTTTCCCCCTGTGAAGATCCGGGTCAGAAATGGTCTTCAGTAAGCCATGCTAGTTTCCCCCTGTGAAGATCCGGGTCAGAAATGGTCTTCAGTAAGCCATGCTTGTCTCCCCCTGTGAAGATCCTGATCAGAAATGGTCTTCAGTAAGCCACGCTAGTCTCGCCCTGTGAAGATCCGGGTTAGAAATTGTCTTCAGTAAGCCATGCTTGTCTCCCCCTGTGAAGATCCGGGTTGGAAATGGTCTTCAGTAAGCCATGCTAGTTTCCCCCTGTGAAGATCCGGGTTAGAAATTGTCTTCAGTAAGCCATGCTTGTCTCCCCCTGTGAAGATCCGGGTTAGAAATTGTCTTCAGTAAGCCATGCTTGTCTCCCCCTGTGAAGATCCGGGTTGGAAATGGTCTTCAGTAAGCCATGCTTGTCTCCCCCTGTGAAGATCCGGGTTAGAAATTGTCTTCAGTAAGCCATGCTTGTCTCCCCCTGTGAAGATCCGGGTTGGAAATGGTCTTCAGTAAGCCATGCTTGTCTCCCCCTGTGAAGATCCGGGTTAGAAATTGTCTTCAGTAAGCCATGCTTGTCTCCCCCTGTGAAGATCCGGGTTGGAAATGGTCTTCAGTAAGCCATGCTAGTTTCCCCCTGTGAAGATCCGGGTTAGAAATTGTCTTCAGTAAGCCATGCTTGTCTCCCCTGTGAATTTCCTGATCGGAAATGGTCTTCAGTAAGCCATGCTAGTTTCCCCCTGTGAAGATCCGGGTCAGAAATGGTCTTCAGTAAGCCATGCTTGTCTCGCCCTGTGAATTTCCTGATCAGAAATGGTCTTCAGTAAGCCATGCTAGTTTCCCCCTGTGAAGATCCGGGTCAGAAATGGTCTTCAGTAAGCCATGCTTGTCCCATCCAAGCGAGAGATAGACGCTGATTTTGACGGAATCAGTTGCACTGTCCGTAACTGTCGTTCGGAAACATTCAATCTTTCGCGATCTCAGAAGCAATTCTCTGATTAGTCGGATGAAATGTCCTCCCGACGTGATATGTAATTGGATATCCTCAGTTCTATGTGTAGCAGTAGCGAGAACTAAGATCTGATTTTCATGAGACTGAACAATTCATATATTCATATATTCATATATTCATATATTCATATATCCATATATTTTTACATCATCTGGTAACAAAGCGTTCATTTTGTCCATAGTAGTAACCACTATCACTATGTTATCACATTGTACAAGGGTCTATGGCATACAACTTCCAAGGAAATAGGCAATCGTATTTCCAGGTCCATCTCAAGGGAAACGCCCCGTACAATACTATCTTACGTTCATTTTTTTCTAAAGCTCTAGCCCTGAATTATAGATGTACCATCCGAACGGCTCCATCGACTGTAGCAATTGATTACAAGACAGCACCACTTTCTAATAAATTAGCTGACCCACTTCGAACCGTCCTTATTACTACATGAATATTTTATTACCATTCCTAGATTATTTTCTGGAAATTCGGAATATTATATTGATTCCTATGGCAGAAGTTTTCCCAACGAGTCATTGTCCTGACCGGCCACGTGCAGCGTCTGTAGCAATGTGTGGGATGTTTACATGAAGACTTCTGTGTACAATTGGCTGACTCAACAGGCGTCTGGTGAAGACCGTACGAACCGTACAAACCCCCGAAGATTTTTGTTCGTTCGACTGATCACCGTCTACGAAAGTATTTTCCTTTTGATTTTGTAATCGATACCTTTACAAGACACATTATAACGAAAGGATAAGTTATAATGGCATATTTTCAGATGATAGATTGATCTAATACGCATTGAACTAACTGGGGAATTCTTACTTATATAAACACACAGCTAAGACTCGCATTAATATTGATGATTTATTTTCTATATTCACAACTTTACAATTTTACAATTTACATATGTCCTGTTTTATTAACATAAAAGCGACAAATCATTTTCCATATTCATAAAATATATCTGCCAAAGGCACAGTTGATTTGACTATATGATGAGTATGTGTTTATACATCACAATCAATAGTGATGATACCAGGTGTTCGCGAAGAGGTGAGCGTATCGAGCCCCACCGGTGGCACCCGTCACAAACACATGCAAAGGCAAATCAATTCTTCACCTGAATAAACACGGGAACATACATCGTTACGACATGTTACAAATAAGAACTATAATAGGGATATAAACAGTTTAATCAAAACCAAATTTAAACTTTTGCTAAACACTGATTAAAAAATGTGAGGACATCGCGAACTCGAGTTTCAGGAAAAAAATCGGTATTAAAGATTTACAACAAGAATGAAAGTGAGCAAGCTCACATATCCCCGTTATCCCCGCTGGTCAACAACAAATAGTAAATAGTTTGATAATTAATGACATATACCTGTTGCTTTAAGTCAGAGGAACTGCCCTTTCCTTTGTAACCCCATGAGCTATGCAAAACCAGTCATCAAACTTTCTAAATTCCATCATGTTTCCATGAAAACAGAAAAAGAGAAAACTTTCAGAATCTTATAAAAGATAAAAAAACAATCATAGTGGTTAATGTAGCAAATTTGCTGAAGCTAGGATACATAATATTGTAAACATGGATCGTACAAGAACTCCTCCCAAAATTTATGTTTCACCATGATTCTATGGAAACGGCCAATATAAAAAAATTCAGAATCTTCAAACTAGCAAAAGGCACAAGTACTCATTGTGGTAAATGTGTGTAGCAAGCTTGATGAAGCTAGGATGCATAGTTAAAAAGATATGGGCCGTACAAAACACCAACCCTAAAAGTTTAAGTTTCTTACTGTGTCCATGGAAACGCCAATAATTATAAAATTCACAATCTTCAAACTAGCAAAAGGCACAAGTACTCATTGTGGTAAATGGGTGTAGCACGTTTGGTGAAGCTAGGGTGCATGGTTAAAAAGATATGGGCCGTACAAAACACCCACCCTAAAGTTTAAGTTTCTAATGTTTCCATGGAAACGGCAAAAATTAAAAAGTTCAGAATCTTCAAACTAGCAAAAGTCACAAGTACTCATCGTGGTAAATGTATGTAGCAAGTTTGGTGAAGCTAGGGTGCATGGTTAAAAAGTTATGGGCCGTACAAAAGCTCGGACGGAGGACGGACGGACGGAACACTACATACCCCCGATTTACTTCGTAAACGGGGGTATAACAATAACTCTTCACCACTTGCTTGAAGTGTTTCTATAGCATTTACATAATGAACAGCATCTTTTTTCTTAAATCAGAACAAATTATCTGTCGGCGTTTCCATCGTCCCACACGAATGAAAAAGCATATTATTGCGGTTTCCTTTTTTTCTCGAGTCAATACGTTGTGCCCTACGTATGCTTTGCAAAGACTACCATGTAACTGTAGCTATGTAAAACGTATTTATTGCACTTACCATGATATATTTTAACGAAACAAGATTTGATTATGATCCCCGGGAAATCGACGTACATGCACAAATAAATACCTTACGACCTTATTCCACTGAAACACCATAATTAGACCCGGTGTTGGTATAAAAGAAATACGAACAAGAATTGTATTATATGCAAATCTAGTCAAAATCTCTGTGATCTTAAACAAGAAGCACCGCGTCAATGATGCTATATTCTATATGTATATTTCTTCATACGAGCCAAGATAACTCTGCCAAACAACCGGCCCCACCTCAACACATCGCGAAAAACAATATTTTTCATTTTGACATTCTCTTAGAATATGACCAGTCTGACCAGTCGGTGTTGTTCTATTGTAGTCGCTGTAGTGCTGCCAGGATTGTCATCACGGCGACAGTCATTACTGACTGGACTGTAACTGAGCCTGAAAACAAACAGTTTGACAAGGTTTGTGTTTGGTGTTTGAGTTTGTTTGTTATTTCACGCAGCTCTATTTCAGTTATTTGGCGGCTGTCTGTATATAATCGAGCATGTACCAGACTATCCAGTGATTGATATCATGAGCATCAACATATGCAAGTGGGATACGATGATATGCTTCAGCCAAGTCAGCGAACCTGACAAACCGATCTCGTTAGTCGCCACTTACGACAAGCATGGGTTACTGAAGACCAGTAAGTAATTAACCCGTTTCTTTATGAGGGCTGTCTGTAAATAATCGAGTCTGAACTAGACAATCCAGTGATTGACATCATGAGCATCAATATATGCAATTGAGATACGATGACATGCATCAACTAAGTCAGCGAGCCTGACCACCCGATCCCATTAGTCGCCTCTTACGACAAGCATAGTCGCCTTTTACGCCAAGCAAGGGTTGCTGAAGACCTATATTCTAGCCCCGATGTTCACGGGTGGTTTGTACACTTGAGTCAAGTACTATTCATACTATATTCTTCAAACAATGCATGGGACTAAGACATGCCTGTACCCAACTAGATATATAATTTCAGAAGTGTTGATGACCTTGAACAATTCTTTCTATAAGCTTTTTCAATAGCTTATGCGCTAACACTTTCAAGGTTGTTAAAACGCGACCTGTAACAGCGATCATCGAGCTACGTCTTTGTATGTAATGATACCCATTGTGTCGTTTGAAAGGTTGCGTGGTTCAGACATTCCCGTGTGTGTACAATACATGTACATGTCACACTGTCGGGTGACATCATGACAGGACATCATGACATGTATTGACTCACTGTACTTTGGATATTCAATAGGATTCCCACCTCTCTCGCCCATTCTATCTATCACTCCACTCAAACGCCAACTCTTTTTTGTATTTTGGATGTTCAATATGATTGTCTCCTCACTTGCCCACTCATTATTTTGGATGTTCAATATGGTTCTCACCTCACTCGCCCGCTCATTATTTTGGATATTCAATATGGTTCTCACCTCACTCGCCCGCTCATTATTTTGGATGTTCAATATGGTTCTCACCTCACTCGCCCACTCATTATTTTGGATGTTCAATATAATTTTCTCCTCACTCGCCCACTCATTATTTTAGATGTTCAATATGGTTCTCATCTCACTCGCCCACTCATTATTTTGGATGTTCAATATCGTTCTCACCTCACTCGCCCACTCATTATTTTGGATGTTCAATATGGTTCTCATCTCACTCGCCCACTCATTATTCTGGATGTTCAATATGATTTTCTCCTCACTTGCCCACTCATTATTTTAGATGTTCAATATGATTTTCTCCTCACTCGCCCACTCATAGTATTTTAGATGTTCAATATGATTCTCACCTCACTCGCCCACTCATTATTTTGGATGTTCAATATGATTTTCTCTTCACTCGCCCACTCATTATTTTGGATGTTCAATATGATTTTCTCCTCACTCGCCCACTCATAGTATTTTAGATGTTCAATATGATTCTCACCTCACTCGCCCACTCATTATTTTGGATGTTCAATATGGTTCTCACCTCACTCGCCCGCTCATTATTTTGGATGTTCAATATGGTTCTCACCTCACTCGCCAACTCATTATTTTGGATGTTCAATATGATTTTTTCCTCACTCGCCCACTCATTATTTTGGATGTTCAATATGATTTTCTCCTCACTCACCCACTCATTATTTTGGATGTTCAATATGGTTCTCACCTCACTCGCCCGCTCATTATTTTGGATGTTCAATATGGTTCTCACCTCACTCGCCAACTCATTATTTTGGATGTTCAATATGGTTCTCACCTCACTCGCCCACTCATTATTTTGGATGTTCAATATGGTTCTCACCTCACTCGCCCACTCATTATTTCGGATGTTCAATATGGTTCTCACCTCACTCGCCCACTCATTATTTTGGATGTTCAATATGGTTCTCACCTCACTCGCCCACTCATTATTTAGGATGTTCAATATGATTCTCGTCTCACTCGCCCACTCATATTTTTTTGGATGTCCAATATGGTTCTCATCACACTCGCCCACTCATTATTTTGGATGATCAATATGATTCTCACCTCACTCGCCCACTCATTATTTTGGATTGTCAATATGATTTTCTCCTCACTCGCCCACTCATAGTATTTTAGATGTTCAATATGATTCTCACCTCACTCGCCCACTCATTATTTTGGATGTTCAATATGGTTCTCACCTCACTCGCCCACTCATTATTTTGGATGTTCAATATGGTTCTCACCTCACTCGCCAACTCATTATTCTGGATGTTCAATATGATTTTTTCTACACTCGCCCACTCATTATTTTAGATGTTCAATATGATTTTCTCCTCACTCACCCACTCATAGTATTTTGGATGTTCAATATGGTTCTCACCTCACTCGCCCACTCATTATTTTGGATGTTCAATATGGTTCTCACCTCACTCGCCCACTCATTATTTTGGATGTTCAATATGGTTCTCACCTCACTCGCCCACTCATTATTTTGGATGTTCAATATGGTTCTCATCTCACTCGCCCGCTCATTATTTTGGATGTTCAATATGGTTCTCATATCACTCGCCCACTCATTATTTTGGATGTTCAATATGGTTCTCACCTCACTCGCCCACTCATTATTTTGGATGTTCAATATGGTTCTCACCTCACTCGCCCACTCATTATTTTGGATGTTCAATATGATTCTCGTATCACTCGCCCACTCATATTTTTTTGGATTGTCAATATGATTTTCTCCTTACTCGCCCACACATTTTAGTGGATGTTCAATATGATTTTCACCTCGCTCGTCCACTCATTATTTTGGATGTTCAATATGATTTTCTCCTCACTTGTCCACTCATTATTTTGGATGTTCAATATGATTTTCTCCTCACTCGCCCACTCATAGTATTTTAGATGTTCAATATGATTCTCACCTCACTCGCCCACTCATTATTTTGGATGTTCAATATGGTTCTCACCTCACTCGCCCGCTCATTATTTTGGATGTTCAATATGGTTCTCACCTCACTCGCCAACTCATTATTCTGGATGTTCAATATGATTTTCTCTTCACTCGCCCACTCATTATTTTAGATGTTCAATATGATTTTCTCCTCACTCACCCACTCATAGTATTTTGGATGTTCAATATGGTTCTCATCTCACTCGCCCACTCATTATTTTGGATGTTCAATATGGTTCTCACCTCACTCGCCCACTCATTATTTTGGATGTTCAATATGGTTCTCACCTCACTCGCCCACTCATTATTTTGGATGTTCAATATGGTTCTCACCTCACTCGCCCACTCATTATTTTGGATGTTCAATATGGTTCTCACCTCACTCGCCCACTCATTATTTAGGATGTTCAATATGATTTTCTCCTCACTCGCCCACTCATTATTTTAGATGTTCAATATGATTTTCTCCTCACTCACCCACTCATAGTATTTTGGATGTTCAATATGATTCTCACCTCACTCGCCCACTCATTATTTTGGATTGTCAATATGATTTTCTCCTTACTCGCCCACACATTTTAGTGGATGTTCAATATGATTTTCACCTCGCTCGTCCACTCATTATTTTGGATGTTCAATATGATTTTCTCCTCACTTGTCCACTCATTATTTTGGATGTTCAATATGATTTTCTCCTCACTCGCCCACTCATAGTATTTTAGATGTTCAATATGATTCTCACCTCACTCGCCCACTCATTATTTTGGATGTTCAATATGATTTTCTCTTCACTCGCCCACTCATTATTTTGGATGTTCAATATGATTTTCTCCTCACTCGCCCACTCATAGTATTTTAGATGTTCAATATGATTCTCACCTCACTCGCCCACTCATTATTTTGGATGTTCAATATGGTTCTCACCTCACTCGCCCGCTCATTATTTTGGATGTTCAATATGGTTCTCACCTCACTCGCCAACTCATTATTCTGGATGTTCAATATGATTTTTTCCTCACTCGCCCACTCATTATTTTAGATGTTCAATATGATTTTCTCCTCACTCACCCACTCATAGTATTTTGGATGTTCAATATGGTTCTCACCTCACTCGCCCGCTCATTATTTTGGATGTTCAATATGGTTCTCACCTCACTCGCCAACTCATTATTTTGGATGTTCAATATGGTTCTCACCTCACTCGCCCACTCATTATTTTGGATGTTCAATATGGTTCTCACCTCACTCGCCCACTCATTATTTTGGATGTTCAATATGGTTCTCATCTCACTCGCCCGCTCATTATTTTGGATGTTCAATATGGTTCTCATATCACTCGCCCACTCATTATTTTGGATGTTCAATATGGTTCTCACCTCACTCGCCCACTCATAGTATTTTAGATGTTCAATATGATTCTCACCTCACTCGCCCACTCATTATTTAGGATGTTCAATATGATTTTCTCCTCACTCACCCACTCATTATTTTAGATGTTCAATATGATTTTCTCCTCACTCACCCACTCATAGTATTTTGGATGTTCAATATGATTCTCACCTCACTCGCCCACTCATTAATTTGGATTGTCAATATGATTTTCTCCTTACTCGCCCACACATTTTAGTGGATGTTCAATATGATTTTCACCTCGCTCGTCCACTCATTATTTTGGATGTTCAATATGATTTTCTCCTCACTTGTCCACTCATTATTTTGGATGTTCAATATGATTTTCTCCTCACTCGCCCACTCATAGTATTTTAGATGTTCAATATGGTTCTCACCTCACTCGCCCACTCATTATTTCGGATGTTCAATATGGTTCTCACCTCACTCGCCCACTCATTATTTTGGATGTTCAATATGGTTCTCACCTCACTCGCCCACTCATTATTTTGGATGTTCAATATGGTTCTCATCTCACTCGCCCGCTCATTATTTTGGATGTTCAATATGGTTCTCACCTCACTCGCCCACTCATGGTATTTTGGATGTTCAATATGGTTCTCACCTCACTCGCCCACTCATTATTTTGGATGTTCAATATGATTTTCTCCTCACTCGCCCACCCATTTTAGTGGATGTTCAATATGATTTTCTCTTCACTCGCCCACTGTATTTTGGATGTTCAACATGATTCTCACCTGTATTCCTGCAGGCGTTCACCCAGGTCTCTGCTGTTGACACTGTGAACACCTCGTTAGTGGTGATATCATCACAGGACGTGTCCTTGGCAGTAATGGCACACAGGTTTTGCACAACGCTGGCACTACAACAGCAATATAGCATGTCGGTACGGTGGCCCATAAGGGACATGGAGTCTGTTTATCCATATTTTGATATTTCACGTACTGTTATCGTAACCTTTTGCAAATTAACACGATTTGTCATACAAATATGTGATAAATCATGTATAAAAACAACTGAAAACATGGAAAATGTACTTTCAAGTAGCTATTGAGTTGCTGAAATGTGAAGCGAAAATGTCAAAAACTAAAATGGAAATGTCAAAAACCAAAACGAAAATGTCAAAAACATAAGCGAAAATGTCAAAAACTAAAATGAAAATACAGAAAACTATTTCCACCGCGGTGTAAATATTATCACCGCGTTAGAAATATTATCACCGCGGTGGAAATAGTTTTCTGTATTTTCATTTTAGTTTTTGACATTTTCGCGTTTGTTTTTGACATTTTCATTTTAGTTTTTGACATTTTCGTTTTTGTTTTTTGACATTTTCATTTTAGTTTTTGACATTTTATTTCACTTTTCAGCGATTCAATATCTTCTTTACACATGATTTATCACATATTTGTTAGACAAAACGTGTTAATTTGCAAAAGGAAACGATAAAAGTAAGTGAAATATTAAAATATGGAAAAACAGACTCCATGTCCCTTATGGGCCACCGTAGATAAGGGACATGGAGCGAAAATGTCAAAAACTAAAATGAAAAAACATAAAACTATTTCCACCGCGGTGATAATATTCCCACCAGTGGAAATAGTATTCACCGCGGTGGAAATAGTTTTCTGTATATTCATTTTAGTTTTTGACATTTTCGCTTTTGTTTTTGACATTTTCGTTTTTGTTTTTGACAATTTCATTTTAGTTTTTGACCTTTTCGTTTGTTTTTTGTTGTTGACATTTTCATATTAGTTTTTGACATTTTCGCTTCACTTTTCAGCGATTCAATATCTTCTTCATACATGATTTATCACATATATTTGTATGACAAATCGTGTTTATTTGCAAAAGGTTACGATAACAGTAAGTGAAATATCAAAATATTGAAAAATAGACTCATGTCCCTTATGTGCCACCGTATGTCGGTCTTATGCCTATCTGGACATACCAACCGAATCAAAAAATGCCTTTAAACCAACTAACTAGTTATCAAATTACATCCGTTTTTAATCTTGATTTATCAGTCTTTTCGGTTTGCTTTACAACAACATAATCCACATCTCGTTACCGTGGTTACGTCTTCCCATACAAACTTATCAATACCACTGATATTCAGTAAAGGACTTACTAGCAATGATTCAAGTGGCCGACGACATTTGAGCGATAAAAGTTCACCTGGCATTGACAAGTGTCCGTCAGTACTGAAACACAAAATATTTGTTCAGCAATTCCCAAAGATCATTTCGGTTCGGATGTTACGTTTTTGTTTGTTTGTTTGTTGTTTAACGCCGCACTCAGCAATAGTCAAGCTATATGACCGCGGTCTGTAAATAATCGAGTCTGGGCCAGACAATCCAGTGATTGCCATCATGAGCATCGATCTACGCTATTGGGATACGATGACATGCATCAACCAAGTCAGCGAGCCTGACCACCCGATCCCATTAGTCGCCTTTTACGACAAGCATAGTCGCCTTTTACGGAAAGCATGGGTTGCTGAAGACCTATTCTACCCCGGATCTTCACGGGTCTCGGATAAGAATAAGATACAGGGGAGATATTATTACCCGGGTCCTGACGGGGATTGTCTGTAATATGATCTTATGATCTTATGGGGTAATGGGAAAAGATTTTGATATTATAGCCAAAGGTCTATGAAACAGAAACAAAGTTGTTTAAGCTTTGATAAAACAATATCCTAGCTTGAACTAAACACTACCCCACGCCATCATCCCCTACCCCTCAGATTGTTTAGGAAGATTGCAGACTGAAAAAAATGTCGACGTTTACAGTTATCAGCGTAACCGAATAAACTGTATAATAATTTGTGTACTGAAATATGTTATTTCCCAGATAAGGGCAAGGATTGTTTCCTCATCGTCTTACACTACACCCAGGGGGTTGTAACTTTGGTATAGACTTACGGCAAGTCTTTCCGGATATTCCGTCGACTCTCTGTACTTCAATGATTGCAGTTTTTAGCCTACTCGATCTTTTGTCACACCCGGAGCCTTCTGCCTGCACCAAGCACCGGATATACTCCTTGGCCGCACTGAAATAACGTAGTGGGGAGCATGAAGACTACAGTTGAGCTCGTTATATACCGCTTATACACTGCTTAAACACTGCTTATACACTGCTTATATACTGCTTATACACTGCTTATACACTGCTTACACACTGCTTACATACTGCTTTTATACTGCTTATACACTGCTTATACACTGCTTATATACCGCTTATACACTGCTTATACACTGCTTATATACTGCTTATACACTGCTTATACACTGCTTAAACACTGCTTATACACTGCTTATATACCGCTTATACACTGCTTATACACTGCTTATATACCGCTTATATACTGCTTATACACTGCTTATACACTGCTTATAGACCGCTTAAACACTGCTTATATACTCCTTATACACTGCTTATATACCGCTTATATACTGCTTATACACTCTTATATACTGCTTATACACTGCTTATATACTGCTTATATACCGCTTATACACTGCGTATATACTGCTTATATACAGCGTATATACTACTTATATGCTGCTTATATACTGCTTATAGACTGTCTATACACTGCTTATATACCGCTTATACACTGCTTATATACTGCTTATACACTGCTTATATACTGCTTATACACTGCTTATACACTGCTTATATACCGCTTATACACTGCTTATATACTGCTCCTATACTGCTTATATACTGCTTATACACTGCTTATACACTGCTTATATACTCCTTATACACTGCTTATACACTGCTTATATACTCCATATACACTGCTTATATACTGCTTGTACACTGCTTATATACCGCTTATACACCGCTTATATACTCCTTATACACTGTTTATATACTGCTTATATACTGCTTATACACTGTTTATATACTGCTTATATACTGCTTATACACTGCTTATATACTGCTTATACACTGCTTATATACTGTTTATACACTGCTTATATACTGCTTATACACTGCTTATATACTGCTTATACACTGCTTATACATTGCTTATATACTGCTCATATACTGCTCATATACTGCTTATATACTGCTTATACACTGCTTATACACTGCTTATACAGGGCTTCTCTACTGCTTATACACTCCATATATACTCCATATAAACTGCTTATATACTGCTTGTACACTGCTTATATACCGCTTATACACCGCTTATATACTCCTTATACACTGTTTATATACTGCTTATATACCGCTTATATACTGCTTATACACTGCTTATATACTGCTTATACACTGCTTATACACTGCCTATATACTGCTCATATAATGCTTATATACTGCTTATAAACTGCTTATACACTGCTTATACACTGCTTCTCTACTGCTTATACACTGCTTATATACTGCTTATATACTGCTTATACACTGCTTATAAACTGCTTATACACTGCTTATACACTGCTTATATACTGCTTATACACTTCTCATACACTGCTTATATACTGCTTTTATACTTCCTATACATCGTTTATACATTGCTTATATTCTGCTCATATACTGCTTATATACTGCTTATATACTGCCTATACATTGTTTATACATTGCTTAGATACTGCTTATACACTGCTGATACACTGCTTATATACTGCTTATACACTGCTCATATACTGCTTATATACTGCCTGTACATTGTTTATTCATTGCTTATATACTGCTTATACACTGCTTGTACACTGCATATACACTGCGTATACATGGCTTACACACTGCTTATATACTGTTTATACACGGCTTTTATACTGCTTTTACATTGCTTACACACTGCTTAAACACTGCTCGTTCCCTACTTGTACCCTGCCAAAACACTGCTACAACACTGATCATATCCTGATTATTTAAAGAGGACGTACATGCATTTCTGTTCATCACTGGGACTTGATGACGACACCGTCTGGTCGTAGGTGGTGAAACATACATCGCACGACGCCGCTGATGTGCCTCCCACAAGCCCTGCAACATGGGATGCGTGTGGGGTGAATGACATAGTGTATTGCCAAGATCGCCGAGACCTGTGAACTTTAACGGAGCAACCAGTGGTTGACCCACCCTGGCATTCGACCTGCCCGGATATGTTCTGAACTCGAAGCAGCACCAGGAAGTGGGAAAAGATACTTGGAAGTATTCACGATGCGTTATTTCTGTAGAAACTGGCAGATTCACATTTGGTTTGGTTTTCAACACTGTCTCCTCGATAACCGATATCAATATTTGTTTTTTTGTTTGTTTGTTTGTTCTTTGGGGGTTTTTTTTAATTGTTTTTGTTTTTTTCCCTCTTTATTCATCTCAGCAGGTACAGCATTTATATATACATGTCATGTCAATACAATTGTGGTACATGGTTTTCAAAAAATGTACATCTTTCCATACAATAAATTCTTGCCTGTAAAGTCCACGTACTGTATCAGTGTATCACTGTTCAGTTTTTTACAAAATGTGGAAGGAAGATCAAAAACTAAAAAAGTTTGTGAATGACATTACCTTTGAAGCATTGTATTAACTTTTAAGATGGCCGCAGTGTATTAATACATTCACGATTAACAGACTCATTCTTATTATGCAGCATGTCACAGTCGGGCCGTCACAATCTTTCAGTTACTAGTTTTAGCTAAAGGTTTGGGTACTAAGTCCTCCAAGCATTGGGTACGAGGTCCTCCAAGCATTGGGTACCAGGACTTTCAAACAGGGCGGTCGGGTAGCCTGGTGGGTAAAGCGTTCGCTCGTCACACCGAAAACCCGGGTTCGATTCCCGACATGTGTACAATGTGTGATATTGCTGGAATATTGCTAAAAGCGGCGTAAAACCATACTCATTCACTCTTTCAAACATTGGGTAATAGGTCCACCAAACATTGGACACCAGATCCTCCAAACATTTGGCACTAAGTCTGCCAAACATTTGGTACTAGGGCCATCAAATATTAGGTTCTCCAAACATTGGGTACTAGGTCCTCCAAACATCGGACAGTAGATCCTCCAAACATTGGGTACTAGGTCCTTCAAACGTTGCGTATGAGGTCTTCCAAACATTTGGTATGAGGTTCATCAATCATTCGGTACTGGGTGTTCTAAACATTGGGGACTAGATCATCCCTACATTGGGTACTGGGTGTTTTAAACATTAGGTACTAAGTCCACCAAATATTGGGGACTAGATCACCCAAACATTGTGTACTAGGTCCTCCAAATATTTGGTAGTGGGTGTTCGAAACATTGGGTACTAGGTCCTCCAAACATTGGGCACTACGTCCTCCAAACAGCAGGTATGAAGTCAACCAAACATTGGGTACCAGGTCCTTAAAACATTGGGTACTAGATCTTCCAAACATTGGTTTCTAGGCCCTCCAAACGTTGGACACTAGATCCTCCAAACATTGGGTACTAATGAGGTAATGGGGCTACAAACGTGAGGTTATAGGGCCAAGACGGATTATGAACATGGGTAATACTATATACTACTTATATGCTGCTTATATACTGCTTATAGACTGTCTATACACTGCTTATATACCGCTTATACACTGCTTATATACTGCTTATACACTGCTTATATACTGCTTATACACTGCTTATACACTGCTTATATACCGCTTATACACTGCTTATATACTGCTCCTATACTGCTTATATACTGCTTATACACTGCTTATACACTGCTTATATACTCCTTATACACTGCTTATACACTGCTTATATACTCCATATACACTGCTTATATACTGCTTGTACACTGCTTATATACCGCTTATACACCGCTTATATACTCCTTATACACTGTTTATATACTGCTTATATACTGCTTATACACTGTTTATATACTGCTTATATACTGCTTATACACTGCTTATATACTGCTTATACACTGCTTATATACTGCTTATACACTGCTTATATACTGCTTATACACTGCTTATATACTGCTTATACACTGCTTATACACTGCTTATATACTGCTCATATACTGCTCATATACTGCTTATATACTGCTTATACACTGCTTATACACTGCTTATACAGGGCTTCTCTACTGCTTATACACTCCATATATACTCCATATAAACTGCTTATATACTGCTTGTACACTGCTTATATACCGCTTATACACCGCTTATATACTCCTTATACACTGTTTATATACTGCTTATATACCGCTTATATACTGCTTATACACTGCTTATATACTGCTTATACACTGCTTATACACTGCCTATATACTGCTCATATAATGCTTATATACTGCTTATACACTGCTTATACACTGCTTATACACTGCTTCTCTACTGCTTATACACTGCTTATATACTGCTTATATACTGCTTATACACTGCTTATAAACTGCTTATACACTGCTTATACACTGCTTATATACTGCTTATACACTTCTCATACACTGCTTATATACTGCTTTTATACTTCCTATACATTGTTTATACATTGCTTATATTCTGCTCATATACTGCTTATATACTGCTTATATACTGCCTATACATTGTTTATACATTGCTTAGATACTGCTTATACACTGCTGATACACTGCTTATATACTGCTTATACACTGCTCATATACTGCTTATATACTGCCTGTACATTGTTTATTCATTGCTTATATACTGCTTATACACTGCTTGTACACTGCATATACACTGCGTATACATGGCTTACACACTGCTTATATACTGTTTATACACGGCTTTTATACTGCTTTTACATTGCTTACACACTGCTTAAACACTGCTCGTTCCCTACTTGTACCCTGCCAAAACACTGCTACAACACTGATCATATCCTGATTATTTAAAGAGGACGTACATGCATTTCTGTTCATCACTGGGACTTGATGACGACACCGTCTGGTCGTAGGTGGTGAAACATACATCGCACGACGCCGCTGATGTGCCTCCCACAAGCCCTGCAACATGGGATGCGTGTGGGGTGAATGACATAGTGTATTGCCAAGATCGCCGAGACCTGTGAACTTTAACGGAGCAACCAGTGGTTGACCCACCCTGGCATTCGACCTGCCCGGATATGTTCTGAACTCGAAGCAGCACCAGGAAGTGGGAAAAGATACTTGGAAGTATTCACGATGCGTTATTTCTGTAGAAACTGGCAGATTCACATTTGGTTTGGTTTTCAACACTGTCTCCTCGATAACCGATATCAATATTTGTTTTTTTGTTTGTTTGTTTGTTCTTTGGGGGTTTTTTTTAATTGTTTTTGTTTTTTTCCCTCTTTATTCATCTCAGCAGGTACAGCATTTATATATACATGTCATGTCAATACAATTGTGGTACATGGTTTTCAAAAAATGTACATCTTTCCATACAATAAATTCTTGCCTGTAAAGTCCACGTACTGTATCAGTGTATCACTGTTCAGTTTTTTACAAAATGTGGAAGGAAGATCAAAAACTAAAAAAGTTTGTGAATGACATTACCTTTGAAGCATTGTATTAACTTTTAAGATGGCCGCAGTGTATTAATACATTCACGATTAACAGACTCATTCTTATTATGCAGCATGTCACAGTCGGGCCGTCACAATCTTTCAGTTACTAGTTTTAGCTAAAGGTTTGGGTACTAAGTCCTCCAAGCATTGGGTACGAGGTCCTCCAAGCATTGGGTACCAGGACTTTCAAACAGGGCGGTCGGGTAGCCTGGTGGGTAAAGCGTTCGCTCGTCACACCGAAAACCCGGGTTCGATTCCCGACATGTGTACAATGTGTGATATTGCTGGAATATTGCTAAAAGCGGCGTAAAACCATACTCATTCACTCTTTCAAACATTGGGTAATAGGTCCACCAAACATTGGACACCAGATCCTCCAAACATTTGGCACTAAGTCTGCCAAACATTTGGTACTAGGGCCATCAAATATTAGGTTCTCCAAACATTGGGTACTAGGTCCTCCAAACATCGGACAGTAGATCCTCCAAACATTGGGTACTAGGTCCTTCAAACGTTGCGTATGAGGTCTTCCAAACATTTGGTATGAGGTTCATCAATCATTCGGTACTGGGTGTTCTAAACATTGGGGACTAGATCATCCCTACATTGGGTACTGGGTGTTTTAAACATTAGGTACTAAGTCCACCAAATATTGGGGACTAGATCATCCAAACATTGTGTACTAGGTCCTCCAAATATTTGGTAGTGGGTGTTCGAAACATTGGGTACTAGGTCCTCCAAACATTGGGCACTACGTCCTCCAAACAGCAGGTATGAAGTCAACCAAACATTGGGTACCAGGTCCTTAAAACATTGGGTACTAGATCTTCCAAACATTGGTTTCTAGGCCCTCCAAACGTTGGACACTAGATCCTCCAAACATTGGGTACTAATGAGGTAATGGGGCTACAAACGTGAGGTTATAGGGCCAAGACGGATTATGAACATGGGATACTAGGGCTTACAAACACGGGTTAAAAGAGCTAACAAACATTGAGTGCTGGGGCTTACAAACACGGGATACTAGGCTAACTAACACGGTGTCCTAGGCTTACAAACATGGGGCACGAGCGATTATAATCATGAAATACTTTATATCAAACAATATATTATTATTCTGCAAACTCAATTGGATTATGCTATGGATCGCGTATATGTCTGCCTATAATAATATTATTCTTGACAATTTATAAAAAGAAGTATAAACGATAAGTAATAAATAAAATACTAAACTCGCTCCCGTGTAATACCAATTTTATGAAAATCGTGAAGAGCCCTTGTATCTGACTTGTTTTCGAGTCATTTCATGTTCACTATTCACTCATATCATAAAAAAGGTATTACACGAAAGTTCACTCTCTCTCTCTCTCTCTCTCTCTCTCTCTCCCTCTCTCTCTCTCTCTCTCTCTCTCTCTCTCTCTCTCTCTCTCTCTCTCTCTCTCTCTCTCTTATGTATATGTGTATAAGAATTTATATATGATACAATCAAATAAAACATGTTATAGATCTACTTACCGAAAACAAGCAACACCACGCCAGCTATACCCATGTTGGTGTTCAGACGCTGACTTAACCACAGGATAGAATGTTCATGTCACTTATACAATATATCTATGAAGAAGGTGATCTATGATATTAATCAAACAGTTGACGTTGCTTGGTATGATGATAACTCTTACTTTCATCCCTTGATTTAATATGTTAATAATAAGGGTCGCTTTGCCATACTTAAATAAGTCTTTTGTGATGAAGTACATGAGGAGACATGTCTTCAGGTGTGTTTGTTTAATGATTTGTTATTTTTATTGGGTAGGTGAGTATGAATGACTCATACTTTGCATGTAGGTTTATAACTCGACAAGCTGGTTTCAAGAATGTACTAATTAATTTTGAGGGTGAAAGATATCAACAAATGAATTACTTCTTGATATGCATTCCTTCGAGTTATTGCAGCGTAATTAATAGGCATATACAATTCTTGCACTGAAGGTACATTGTCAATGAACCTGTAGCCTCTGGGCACGTCATTTTCAGTACAGATAGACAGGCAATTAAACGGGACGAGTCTCAACTTGGAAGTCCTGGTAAATATAATTTAAGTTATAATTATAAAATAAGATAATTCATTATATATTATACAAATAAAACACTAATATAACCACGAGTAAAACATGTAGAAAATTGAACGGGTGACGATAAGGAATGGTGTTTTAAAGTATATGTTTTAAAGTATATGTTTTAAAGTATATGCAATAGTAAACTTTAATAAAAGGGATAATGACAGGATGAGATTTGTGTACAGCGATCTTTTTAACAATATTAAACAGATAAACATAAACAGACTAATACTGGCTGGTGTGAATGGTTTCCGGGCCCTGTTTGTTTTCAGCATCGGAACAGGCAGTCGGCGGCCATAAGGTAGGAACTAATATTCGGAATGAAGTATATGAGTGCTGTCATTGAGTATCTTACACGTCTTTTTGACAATTGCTGCTCATACATCTCTCCGATGTGTTGAAATTGTGTACCTGAAATTTCGCTCGCTGTCTTATGTATTTTAGTGTTATTTTGAACAGACAGGCTCGCATACCAGCAGTAAACATTAAAAACTAAACTGCTTTGAATGAACGTTCTATAAAACAGAGAGCGTATATATTATCAAGTTTAAAATACCTCAGACGCAGTAAAAAATGCAATCGCTTTTGGCCTTTTTTAAATTAAAACATTTACGCCTGGACTGGGAACAAAGTCCCTCTTTAAAAATATCACTAGATAAAATACATTTCTCAAAAATGTAATTTTGGAGCTCAGTTGGTGCCCATGGAATGGCCTAGTTCTTGCCTCAATGTCCTGTTCCAAAATTCAAAATTCCACATGGATTGTGTCAATTTCAGATATTGTTTTCATCTTAAGCTTCAACTGACGTTGTTTTGTTTTTTGACAAATCCCCCTAAACTTATGGTCACCACGTGACAAATGCCTCCTGGATCGAGGAATGAAGTTTATCAAGTTTGCAGTGGGATAATGGTCAATATAGCTGAAAAATCAAATGTTTTTACATGATTGAATGTGGTTCATGAGATTGCTAAACTTCAAGAAAATCCTTTGAGTTAAGAGAATCCACATGCTATGAATTGTACCTTTCTCAAATATTTTTTTGTGAATATACAGAAAGCCCTTCCTTGGTTGTATTAAGGGTGGTGATCTTTCTGGCATGGATTTCGTCGTACTTAGCTGGACCGAGCAATATATCTCTCTTTGTACGGATTTTGAAGGAGTTTGGGAATCCAGTACAAAAGAGAAATGGACATTTCTTTAGGTCAAGCCAACAGTTGATGGTATTGATGTGTGGCTTTGACAGATTTTTTCCACAGTTAATACACAAGCCTTATTTGATGTGTCACTGTACCAAGTTCTATGACCAAACAATTAATGTCGTGATGCTTACATATAATGGTTATGCTTTTTGCAGCTCCGGTCGTATCTCAATACATCTTCATTGCAAACATCCATTCGTGACCCATCGTGATAAGCCGAATGATGAAAAGGGGCGAGTGGTAACGGGTATGAAGACTGTTGCTTCACAGAGAGAAATCTAAATATTGGAAAACTGAATTTATCTTTGTTATGAGGTACAACCCAAGCTGCCTGTCAGACAGACTCAAAGTAGTTTGAATCCCTTGACGACCATCTCACCTCACCGGGTTCCCAGCCACTGACCACAACGTGAAACGTCAGGCAACCTGTGTTTCAGCGTGAACTCAGGGATCCAGCTTGTTGAGCATCGTCACCTATACACCTACTATCCTCCGCCAGCGTGCCTTAACCTTACATAATATGTCTTTATATACTTCAGTGTGAAAGACTGAGTTTTCCGAAGTTGAGAAAAGTGAAATTTTCATTGTAGTGAACATAACACTTGATATTTCACTGCAGTGAACATAACTATTGATATTTTCACTGCAGTGAACATGACACTTTCACGAAACTATTTTCATACAAGAGTAACCTCCCCTTAAATTGTCTCCCTTTGTCGTAAGTGACTAGCCCGTACACAAACTGTTGACGTCCTTTTCACGCTAGTTCCACATTGACAAGGCAACATAATGATAGACAGTCGTTTATGAAGTTAATATCACGTCTTGCCGTTTGTTATTCTCTCGAAAATGTTTCCTTATAAACTGTAAATTTCTTATTTAACTGTCAGTCAAAACTGTTCGTTTCGCAAAGCGCCATTTTTGTTACTTGACCAGCGTGTATTCTTTCGCTTCCAACAGCGTCTCCTAGTTTTTGAGGATATTTTTTGTTAAAGTTGATTTTGTTTATAATCATGTCCAAATGTATGATAAAGTATTTTCGTGACCATAAATATACCTTAAATACTTTTGTTTATATTTTTAAGGTTTTGCAAACACGAAACTACTTTTTAAGTCGCAAATACAAGGGGTGGTAAACCGACCCTGTGTGTTAGATAGGGAGAATTTACGTTTCAATGTTTAACATTTGTTATGAAATGATTTAATTTTCTGGTAGACAACTACACAAAAAGTATATAATAAATAGGATATATCATGTGTCGAGAGAAACATGATATTTCTCTCGACACATGATATGAAATAATGACATGAAATTATTTATTTTTCTGGTAGACAACTACACAAAAAGTATATAATAAATAGGATATATCATGTGTCGAGAGAAATATCACGTTTCTCTCATCGAGTGACGGGGAAAAGGAGATATTGTCATGAGTGGCTATTAAGTGCTATGTACAGGGCTACATTTCAGCACTTCAGCAATATGTGAGTAATAATGGGTTCATCAAAAGTTTCATAACTGATGTACATATCACCTCTCTTGCTATGTTTTAAATGCACCTCAATGAACTGTTGAATAGTATCGATTTCAATCGTTCCTGAAATAACGCTCCCATTTAACAAAAGCGTGTTTGAAAATATCGAACAAACAAATTTGGCTTGGCGTTTCAATACATTATTTCTATCATGGCTTAAATATGTAAGCTTACAACGCAAATCGATTTGTTTTCATATCACAACATGAAAGAGATGAATTGAGGTGGGGTGGTATTTAACGTTTTAAGAAGATTGCATATATATAGCGACGTGCATTCAGGTATGTGTGTGACTAAATAGTGCTAGCCCTTTGAGATACCAGTTTAACATCAGAATACCACTCAGACACAGTATACTGACTCTGAGCCGACCAGTCCTTGTTTCATCCCCTTAATGCCAAGGACCGGACAGGATAACAAAAGTACCATCTTTTAAGGTCTTTGGTATGACGTATACGTAGTTGGGAACTCAAACAATCGACAGTCCACTCTCCGGGCAGATGCTCTATCCACTAGACCACGGAGGCGATCACATAAAACAGGAGAGTGGGATGTCAAGGTCAGGGACTATTGGTGCGGGTTCGAGTCCGGAGTGAATGAGTTGAGTTTAGCGCCATTCCGGACCGTACTTCGGTTACTCCATGACGTGTCAGAAAGCCCATTGTGTTCCAGGTCATAAACTTGATCTACCTTGAAGTGACTGAGTGAGTGAGTGTGGTTTTACGCCCCGAACTACCTTGAAGAGACCAGCGACCACCGACAAACCAAGGATCCTTATCAGATCGAATCCAATCTTGGATTCAACTCGGCAGCTCAAATTGTGACACTTGAAGCCTCTCTACCACCTGTGACCAGGAATGAGTTCATTAAATTCTCATTCTCATTCTCAAGTAAATTCTTATTGTTGACACACATTTGACTGTAATAAAATTATAACAAGTAAATGGATGTCTGCGTCATACGATTTTATTTCGACCCCTGTGAGGATTCCGAGTCAAATACAGTAGAACACGGATATAACGAACACGGATATAACGAACAACAGATATAACGAACAACGGATATAACGAACAACGGATATAACGAGTGAGTGAGTGAGTATGGTTTTACGCCGCTTTTAGCAATATTCCAGCAATATCACGACGTGGGACACCAGAAATGGGCTTCACACATTGTACCCATGTCGGGAATCGAACCCAGGTCTTCGGCGTGACGAGCGAACGCTTTACCACGGGGCTACCCGACCGCCCGGATATAACGAACACGGATAAAACGAACAACGGATATAACGAACTGATTTCTCTGGTCCCTTGTAGTTCGTTATATCCATGTTCTACTCTAGTTCTCCAATAAATAAACTGACGGGCAAATGAAAGTATACACCTATGTTTGATAGTGGGTGAAAATTTAACAAACAAAAATGGTTATTCGATGGTGATGTATTTTAGATGGGTATCTTAGTTTTGCAGTGTTTCGGCAAATGTTTTCAGCCTACTAACGTTTTGATAGGTTTGTAATGCTTTGGTTAGATCCAATTTTCAAATGAATACTTTCTGTACTCCGGCAGTTTGTTTCTAGTCGTAAGACTACAATGGGGATTGGGTGGCAGATTCAGTGAGTGTATGACGTCGCTATCGTTGATCATGCTATCTCCGACTGGTCTGCCTGGCCCAATTCTGTTATGAACACACCACGGATATACATGTAGTTGAAATTGAAATTGCTCACTGCTGCGTAAGAGAAGAAGCAGGCAAACATTTTTATTTCAACGCATGTAGAAACTACATATACAACATAAGGTATTGTTATTATCTCAAATAGACAAGGATCTAAATAAAAGCGACAAAACCCTTTCCATATTCATAAGAAATCTCTGCCAACAGCCAAGTCGATTGTATGATTCCAGCCATATCATGAGCATATGTTTATGAAGTACCATCAAATAGTGATGATACCAGGTGTTCGCGAAAAGGTGAGCGTATCCTACCCCATCGGTGGCACCTGTCACAAATAAATGCAAAGGCAAGTTTATTGTTTATTTGAAAAAAACGTGGCAACATATGGTACAAGTCAAAATACCAATGACTCCGGGCACCATTTTTGTAACTGATGCGTTAAATTCGGAAATGTCCTCGACATATCTACTATAAAACTTATTGAAAGCTCTATTGAAAACGGGAATAGACAAGTTTGCGTTGCCAGGGTACATACTATTAACCATGCAGAACCAACAAAAATGCAAAACCTTCATATATATGAAAGGCTATGTATAGCAAGTGATCTTCGTCTATTATACAAGTAAGTTGGTTATTCCATATAGTTGTAAATAGGTTTTAATCAAATAATCACATGTTTCTCTCTTTTAGACCATAACAAAACAAACTTTGTCGGGACCACCGATATTTGTTTTTCAAAAGTATTTTGGTGTTCATTTTAATTTATTTTCCTACAAAGGTTTTAAGAAAGAAATATGCCAAAGTTTATATACCTAAATGGCTAAATGGGTAAGTATGAAATCTACCATTTTACTTATTTTTCAAAAACAGTAAGCAAATCAAATCACTTTCAGCTCCTCGACACTTCAGTCAAACTCTCAGTTGTATACATTTCAGAGTTGCATAGTTTACTAATAAATATAGATATACATAAAGAAATAGAGGTAGCACTCCAGATATTATTTAGTAAGTGAAACACTATAAACCCAATGGATGTGGTTTGGTGTTGAAACATATTGATCATATTTAGTAATTGAATGAAACGTCTGCTCGTGTTATATTAAGGCCATTATTGAAATATATCTATAAAATACATCGCAGAACATGTTTAACAAAATGTAACTAAGCGACCGGATCCTGACATCTAATGACGTCATGATTTGCTACTGCTTCTGGAGAAGTCTAGCAACGGTTGCTACAAGAATGGCTGCCTTCAGGGACAAGTGACGGATGAAATCTGAAAAAGGACAATCATGTTTCTCAATTTCTATATTTATGGAACACACACTAGCAAGGACTGAGAGGGTTTAACGCCGATCTGAACCATTACATAACGTCGTTTTAAGGACGAGTGAGTGAGTGAGATGGGTTTAACGCCGCTTTTAGCAATATTTCAGCAATATCGGCGGGGGACACCAGAAATGGGCTTCACACATTGTACCCATGTGGGGAATCGAACCCGGGTTTTCGGCGTGACGCGCGAACGCTTTAACCACCAGGCTACCCGACCGCCCCGGAAGGTCGCAAAAGTACGTTAATCACTTTGGTGAAACCCAAGAGCAGGAACTATGTGCTGACAGATCAAGGTTCATATTCAAAGCAAACCTGGAATTTGAACGAACGACCATAGGATCCTGGCACTGTTAAGGCACGTAACTCTGTACAACACACTAGAATCCGCAACGTTATTCTAATGTATATAATCCCCTCTTCTATACCTAAATTCGACTACTTTTGTGTTTCTCTTTGTCCTTTTGTTTGCTTTGGGACGATACAGTGAAATCCAAACTTAACTACTCTTTAATTCGTGTGCCTTCACTATCGTGATCCGATGTTATCTGGGAAGAGAGTAAGCGAGATGGGGAGTTTGGTTTAAACGCCCCTTTGAACAGTATCCAGTTATATCACGGCGTGTCAGTGTGATGTTGGAGGGCACTTCAAGAGCAGGGGTATGGTGCTTACAAACCAACCACAGCTAGGATTCGAACACAGACTGTGATAGAGAGAACGTTACTTTTGAAGTAAAGAGAACTTTCTTGTTTATAGCATACCATGATTTATTAGCCAATCTGTATGCACGATTGTTGCTATAAAACTGGAATATAGTGTGGCTTATTATATTATGGCATATGTGAAGTACCTCTTATTTTGATATACTGACCTTGACCTGAGCACGCGCCTACCCATGTATTGGAGGTGGACACAGAGTACACGGCATTTGTTGTGACGTCATCACAGGCCCTGTCAGCTGCAGCTATGGCACAGCGATCTTGGACCACACTTGCACTGTCAAGAGTAATACACCTCGTAAATCATGTATACCATTCAAAAGATGTTAAGGATTATTTCACATTAGTTTAGTTATTCTGTCATGGCATGGTAATTTACCTATAGTAATATGAAAGAATTCGGTGGTCTAAACTTCTTTTGACTAGTATATTTGTTCTATCGTTTCAGTTTTGTTTTTAGCAAACTGTTTCTTGCATCTATTTGCATAACCCATTGATCGATTTCTTTATTGCTCTACATATCAATACCAAATTAACGTCCTTTAAAATCTTTTGTCGAAGATATACTTAGTATCAGATGAGTGAGTGAGTATGGTTTTACGCCGCTTTTAGCAATATTCCAGCAATATCACGGCGGAAATGGGCTTCACACATTGTACCCATGTCGGGAATCGAACCCGGGTCTTCGGCGTGACGAGCGAACGCTTTGACCACTAGGCTACCCGACCGCCCCAGTATTAGATAAAAGTGGGTGATAATGAAATTACCAATTTAGAAAAAAAGCGACAAAACCCTTACCATATTCATAAGAAATGATAACTTGATTGTACGATTCCGACTACATCATGAGCATGTGTTTATGATTATATATCAAATAGTGATGATACCAGGTATTCGCCAAAAGGTGAGCGTATCCTGCCCCACAGGTGGCACCGTTACAAACACATGCAAAGGCAAGTCAATTGTTCACCTTAAACGTTTCACAAATCTTGACAAATGGAAAGTTCCAATCTCCCTTTCTGCTTAGGAAAACGGTCTATGCAGTTCCTTATCGACAACAAAAAAGTTTATAAACTGGGTGGCAAAAGAAAGTATAGGTCGAGTTCAATGATCGATAAAAAAATAACAAGAAGAGGTTTTGTTGTGAATTATAATATAATCTAGGGAGGGGTAACAAATGATTGATCAGCAACAGTTTGAATGAAATTGTGCAATCACAGGTAATGTAAGCTCAAGGTAAACAATTTCATTTTCAAAAGTTGTCTGAAATGTAACCAAAATATTGTCACACACACTACAATTTTATTGTCGACACAATTGCCTTCAATAGCGTGTATGACCTCCAGATGCTGACCGTCATCTTCTGATGACGTGGACTGGAATCCGCTGCCACTCGTCTCTCAGGGCCTGCTGCAATTCTTGTCTGTTGACGGGAGGCTGATGGCGTGCTCTAATCTGTCTGTCAAGATGGTCCCACAGATGTACAATAGGATTCATATCGAGTGAGTGGGCAGGCCAGGGCAAAACGTCAACGTTCTGCTGGTTTAGAAAGCTCCGAGTCAGTCTTGCAGTATGGGGCCTGGTATTGTCGTGTTGAAACAATGTCCCCTGCTGTTGGTTTTGTAAGAACGGAAGCTCAACTGGCTGCAACACATGGTCCCTTCAGGTTTCCCTGTATAATCACCAAATCAGTCTTCTGATCTCCACAAATACCGCCCAACACCATCACACCTCCCCCGCCGAATGGATGGACCTCTCGAATACACGCCGGAGCCAAACGTTCCCTTCTGCGTCGATAAACTCGATTTCTGCCGTCATTTCGAAACACGTTAAACCGACTTTCATCAGTAAACAGCACTCGACGCCAATTTCTCACTTGCCAGCGTCGAACCTGCCTCGCCCATCGCAGTCTCAGGCGTCGATGTTGAGCAGTCAGTACCATTCCTCGGAAAGGACGATACGCTCGGATTCCAGCAGCACGAAGTCGTCGTAGTACTGTACGTTGGCTAATGGGATGTCCCAACGCTGTTGCTACCGTCGCCGTCGCCGTTACGAATCTGTTTCGCAGGTGAATGAGCCGTGTCCGTCTTCCAGTGGTGTTGTCACTCGGGGTCGTCCGGTTCTAGGCCTGGCCTGTGTCCTCCCTGTCTGCCTGTACCGTTGAATCAGCCTGGCTACTGTCAATGGTGTACAACCAAACCTTCTGGCAACTTGGACCTGTGTTGCCCCCATTTCGGCCATACCGATGGCTCTCTCTCTCTCTCTCTCTCTGCTCCTGTGACAGTCGTGGCATTTCTTTTGTGTGCTTTATACCCTGCAGACGAACGCATTTATACAGCTAACATGCACGTGCAGTTTATGCCATAGGCGGGAAACCTGTTTCACCATTTTTTTGTCACCGCACGAGCGCAGTCAAAGGTGGCGCTTTCGGGTGAGGTGTTTTGTGGTACCTGTTCGTGGGCAGTCATATTCCCAATACCCACTTTCCACTAGTTATCGCTGTTTTTAGGAAAATTACAAATTGCCAACCAATCGCTGTTTTTAGGAAAATTACAAATTGCCAACCTTTTCTTTCTTTTGCCGCTTAGTTTACAATACAATGTCTTTGGGGAGTGGGGGTGGCGTCAGTAAATGAGACATATAATGGAAAAGTATATGTTTATGTGTCTGACAGGTTAAGGTAGAAATATAAAAAATAGTTCCCACATTTAATGGGACAGACCGTCTATGCAATTACACCTACTAGCATTTGTTCACTGGGTCTCTGAGATTTGAGCTGTAGAAGGCCACTTGACATAAGCAGCTGTCTGTCAGTACTGAAACATAGATGATCACAACTATAGTCCTCGACGCTTGACATAAGCAGCTGTCTGTCAGTACTGAAACAGATGATCACAACAATAGTCCTCGCCACTTGACATAAGCAGGTGTCTGTCAGTACTGAAACATAGATGATGACAACTATAGTCCTCGCCACTTGACATAAGCAGCTGTCTGTCAGTACTGAAACAGATGATCACAACAATAGTCCTCGCCACTTGACATAAGCAGCTGTCTGTCAGTACTGAAACATAGATGATCACAACAATAGTCCTCGCCACTTGACATAAGCAGCTGTCTGTCAGTACTGAAACATAGATGATCACAACAATAGTCCTCGCCACTTGACATAAGCAGCTGTCTGTCAGTACTGAAACATAGATGATGACAACTATAGTCCTCGCCACTTGACATAAGCAGCTGTCTGTCAGTACTGAAACATAGATGATGACAACTATAGTCCTCGACACTTGACATAAGCAGCTGTCTGTCAGTACTGAAACATAGATGATGACAACTATAGTCCTCGACACTTGACATAAGCAGCTGTCTGTCAGTACTGAAACAGATGATCACAACTATAGTCCTCGACACTTGACATAAAATCACATCGCGATTATTAATACACGAAGGCAGTTGCATGTGTTTTAATAAGTATAGAGTGACAACAAGCCATTCCGGCGATAAGGTATAGTTCTTACACAAATGACAAAATTTGCAATGTCAACTTTTAAAGACATCCCGAAACAGAAATATCTCGCGATATTTCATGATGCTGTTTCAAGGGGTGAAGACTATAAGTGAGCGAGTTGGGTTTAACGCTTAATGGTTGAGGAAAGCCCGAAGTTGTGCAGTTTTCAGACGTTTACCGCTTCGGTGAAACCCACGAGCATAGATATGGTGCTGACAAACCTAGAAACATAATCAGGGAGAACTTGGATTCAAACCCACGATCAAAGATTTCTGGCACAACTAAGACACTTAACCCTGCACAGTGGATTGTGGTGCCTTAGACGACCGGGCCCACAGCGCCTCTGATGACGTCCGAAATGGGCATGCCATTGAATGGGGTGAGAACTGTACAAAACGTTTTCAACATTTCGCCAACCCTGGTGAAGTAGCAGCCGTTCCTCTGGAGCTTACCACACGTCAGTCCTATGATGCTATGTACTCTGGCCACCTCGTCCTGAGCAACCTTAAGCCTCTCTGCCCTCTTGTCGCAACCAGATTCCTGTGTTGCCGTCACCAGACAGGTGATGTACGTTTTCGCAGCCCTGGGACAAATACACACAGTGATAGAACACCATTCAAAAGCCGAAGAGAGGAAATAATAAGCCGTGTGTGTGGATCACGTTTCAAGAAAAGAGATCGTGTTAACCTCGATAGGAATGTTATTGCTATTGATGCATACCTAACAGGTCCAAAATATCATATCTGAAAATTGCACTAAATGAAATGTGGCATGTGTACATATTACATATATAATAGTTTCATATTACATCTGCATATTACATATATGATAGTTTTATATTACATATATAATAGTTTCATATTACATCTGCATATTACATATATGATAGTTTTATATTACATATATAATAGTTTCATATTACATCTGCATATTACGTATATAATAGTTTTATATTACATCTGCATATTACACATGTAATAGTTTTATATTACATATATGATAGTTTTATCTTACATTTGCATATTACATTCATAATAGTTTTATATTACATCGGCATATTACATTATAATAGTTTTATATTACATCTGCTTGTTACATATATAATAGTTTTATATTACATCTGCATATTACATATATAATAGTTTTATATTACATCTGCACGCATTCCGTGGACCGTGCTCATGATATTAATCACTGGATTGTCTGGTCCAGACTCGATTATTTACAAACCGCCGTCATAAAGCTGGAATATTGCTGAGTGCGGCGTTAAACAACAAACCAACCAACCAACATCTACACGTAAGTTGACAAAACTTTATGTATAACAACTTCTTTATTATACTATTATAACATAAATGTCGCAGTATGGTGTGCAATAACCTGGAACGCGACATTATAGTTTAGGACTGCGAGTTTATATATATATATTATATCACATATATATAAAAACTCAAAAGATATTATATCAATGAAATGAAGTCATTCTCATGCCTCCCACTATTATCACTAGCTATGACGTCATATGCTTTATGTCGTCAAAGCATAACGTCGGCTGTCGCCTAGGACTACGTTTTACTTCTCCCTCTATTGTCACTATTACATCATAGGCATTATGACGCCACAAATACTACTGTTATGCGTTGCCTAGGACTACAATGTAAGTTAAATTTTTCATTACACCTGAAGAGCCGTTGAACGGCGAAAGATATTGTGTGGATAAAAGAGTTTTGACAAGCACGAATATCTGGATTCTGTTTTTTCTGTATTTAATACTTATACACCTGATGAAATCACTTGTATATACACTTAAACACAGTAGATTAGTAGATTCATTACATTACAGATTACATAAAATACATATAGTTTATTATACACATTAGTATATTACATACAAGATATTTTAGGTTTATAAATATCATATTTGTTTATTGCACATTACATATACCATATGAAAACATGTTACAAAATTAGATTTGACATATTACATATTACAGATCACATAAAACATATCAGTAGATTATATATAACATTAGTATATTACATACGACATATTGGTATATTACATTTGACATTTTTTACATATTACATATGATAAATTATTGCAATTATTAATAGAATGTTATACATAACATATTAAAAGATTATTGATCAGGTGACTAAGTTTCATGTACGTATTACCAAATTACATATTACGACGTACGTGCATTTCTGTTGATCTGAACCAGCTGAGATGCTGGTGTCGTAGGTTGATTTGCAGACATCACACGACACTCCCGTTGTGACGTGGATCATTCCTGAGGCAAAACAAAATTGCCATATTTACAATTAGTCACATGTTTCAATAATATAAACTGTATTATTGGTCATTATAAACATATTCTTCACAACAAGTATTGAATTGAATGTCTGCGTAAGGCCTATCCTTTGAAAATAGGTCTTCAGCAACCCATCCTTGCCGTAAAAGGCGACTATTCTTGTCGTAACAGGATCGGGTGGTCAGGCTTGCTAACTTGGTTGATGCGAGTCATCGTTTCCCACTTGCGTGGATCGACGCACATGATGTCAATCACAGGATTGTCTGGTCCAGACATGATTATTTACAGACCGCTGTCATATCGTTGGAATATTGTTGAGTTCTGCGTTTAGAATAAACAAAACAAACTGAAAGTACCCTCGTGGATATTCCGTGTTAGGAGTCGTCCTACGTAAACTAAGCTGGTTGTTAAACGCGACTGTATGGGTCAGTGTGCTGTTGTACAAAACAAACCTTAGCGCTACGATAAAGTCTGTGTTAGGTATCGGAGATCGTTTTGTACAGCGGCATCTTCGTGGTCAGACTGTAACCTGGTTGATTGCGTGTCATCAAACCCGGACGGCGTGGGGCGTATATAAGAGCTACGACTTTTGTAAGCCTATGTTAAAGAATGGGAGTTACGATCATCTTAGCGCTAAGATCGCTTTGTGCAAGTGGGCCCTGGCTGGTCCAGACTCCATTGTTACACGTCGCCGTCATATAGCTGGAATATTTCAAAGTACGGCGTCAATAACAAACAAAAAGACCCAATATCAGATTACAAATTAGCATGTTTAGATAGATAGTTTGCGTTTTCATTCATATCACTGAATACATCAGCAGCACACGTACACGTCAAAACCTTTTAGAATTTCAAAACGTCAAAGTTAATGGAAGTGTCCTATCACTGAATGCATCAGCTAGACACACATGATACTTTCACATTTAAGGGAAATGTCATATCACTCAATGCATCAGCTAGACACACATGATACTTTAACAGTTAAGGAAAATGTCATATCACTAAATGCATCAGCTAGACACACATGATACTTTCACAGTTAAGGGAAATGTCATATCACTGAATGCATCAGCTAGACACATGTGATACTTTCACAGTTAAGGGAAATGTCATATCACTCAATGCATCAGCTAGACACACATGATACTTTAACAGTTAAGGGAAATGTCATATCACTCAATGCATCAACTAGACACACGTGATACTTTTACAGTTAAGGGAAATGTCATATCACTGAATGCATCAGCTAGACACACATGATACTTTCACAGTTAAGGAAAATGTCATATCACTGAATGCATCAGCTAGACACACGTGATACTTTTACAGTTAAGGGAAATTTCATATCACTGAATGCATCAGCTAGACACACATGATACTTTCACAGTAAAGGGAAATGTCCTATCACTGAATGCATCAGCTAGACACATGTGATACTTTCACAGTAAAGGGAAGTGTCCATTATATAATGATTACATTCCTGACTAAGCAAGTAATTATGAAACAAATTTGTAAGGATATTTGACTTTCTTACCTAAAATCAACAGGAGAATCGCTGCTTTGGCCATATTCCTGTACTAAAGGAATAAGATGTCGTCGGAGAATCACAAGTCCAATGAGCACATACTACAGTTCATCACTTAAACTGCCATCACTATCGTTGTCATGTGTTATGTTCATTGTTCAAAGCGATTGTCTCTTATCGCATGATATATCATAAGCATCGCAGATCATAATTGTACTTCGCCTTATCATAATTCATTGTGATGTCAAAAGCAAGATGCAGCATGTATTTATTTGTCGCTGTGGTTTCCAACTCTAAAACAATGTAAACACACTTAGTGAAAACACTGTCTTAGTGTGTGGATTGAACGCTATCTCAGGTATGTCACGGTGTATGAGTTAATATTGGAAGCCCTGTATTTTAGGCCAAATCACAAAATATAAGTGTGTGAGAGTGAGGGCATTTCCAACATGTGAGGTTGTGAGAGAGGGCATATCCAAATATAAGTGTGTGAGAGAGAGGACATTTCCAACATATGAGGGTGTGAGAGAGGGCATTTCCAAATATAAGTGTGTGAGAGAGAGGGCATTTCGAACATGTGAGGGTGTGAGAGAGGGCATATCCAAATATAAGTGTGTGAGAGAGAGGACATTTCCAACATGTGAGGGTGTGAGAGAGGGCATTTCCAACATGTGAGGTTGTGAGAGAGGGCATATCCAAATATAAGTGTGTGAGAGAGAGGACATTTCCAAATGTATGTGTCGTGAGCGAAAGAAAGAACCACGTTCACCTACCAGCCTTTTTAACATTTCATCCAAGAAGGAAAACAATGAACTACGCTTGTATGATGAAAACATTTTATTCGGCAAAGATTATATTGAATACAATTATCATTCAGAGAGATTTTAACCTAAAAACGTACATGAGACATTTACATTCGTTAGTTTAGTATTTCATACCCCAAGATGCCCAAGTTTTCTTTCTTTTTTCGAGATGATTGAAGTTACTACGTTTGGTTCACACGGATCCTGCTGTTAACGGGACATTCATGCACTGACACTTCAAACTGGAGCCTGTGTGGTCCTAGGAGACACTTTGTAAAGGGGTACAAACAGGTGGACTATCCCTCTTTCCCTTAATAATGATTTCCGAAACAGTCAGCTAAGGATAAGACAGTTATAACGAAAATAATTAACAAAACCTATTGATGTTGTATCCAAATTTCAGAAACACCATCATGTTACATTTCTTTATCATGATCAAATTTAGTAAATTAAATATATGCCATTATTATTATTATGAATATTCATGATGTAGCGTTCAACAATTTTATGGTTTTTCTCTGGTACACTTGACTCGCTAAGTTGACAGTATTCAAACTTCGGACTTTGATAATTAATTGATAAAGTGTAGCAATCCTAAAGATTATACCAATGTAACTATTATTAGTATTGTGGTTCTCATTCAATGCAATCCATTTCAACATTAAACGAGCTCCATTTAGCTTTACATGAGGTCATCGCTATAAGTATTGTTATAGTTATCGTTCTCTGAGAACGCCGACAACAGTTGCTGCAATGGTGAACGCCATAAGGGTGAGCGCATGGATGGAGTCTGAAAACAAAATAATATCTTTGAAATAAAAGCAACACAACTTTTTTCATAATCATAAGAAATCTCAACTTTCAGAATCCTTTGTATGATTCCGACTATGTGGTGAGCATGTGTTAATGAATGAGTATCAAATAGTGATGATATCAGGTGTTCGGGAAAAGGTGAGAGTATTCTGCCCCATGTGTGGTACCCGCCACAAACACGTGAAAGTCCAACACAAGTTCTACCCTTGACGAACGTTACATAGCTCAAAGTTAGAGATGCAACGAGTGAGTATTGCAAGTCATTTTTTATTATGGGGGTTGGGTGGGGGGTGAATATACTCCTCCAACTTTCCACATACTCGTAGTATTGCAAGTCACTCCTCATTTTAGGGAGGTAAGAAAACTCACCCAACTTCAACATATTATTGCAGGTCATTCCTCATTATGGGGAGGTAAGTATACTCACGCAACTTTCAACATGGTATTGCAAGTCATTCCTCATTATGGGGAGGTAAATATACTTACCCAACTTTCAACATGGTAAGGCAAGTCATTCCCTATGTGGGGAGGTAAATATACTCACCCAACTTTCAACATGGGATTACAAGTCATTCCTCATTATGAGGAGGTAAATATACTCACGCAACTTTCAACATGGCATTGCAAGTCATTCCTCATTATGGGGAGGTAAATATACTCACCCAACTTTCAAGATAGTACCGTTATTATGGTTCAGATAAAGCAATAAAATAATCATGTTTCAAAAATATTAAACAGGGGAATGTTTCAAAAATATTAAACAGGGGAATGTTTCAAAAATATTAAACAGGGGAATGTTTCAAAAAAAATAAACAGTAAAAATGCCACCACTAGTCATTGCTATAAAATGTTTATGTAAGAGTATTTACTCTTGGTTTACTACATTAATGTGTGAATAACAACATACAGGGAAACCTCGACAGTGGGGACCCCGTTAATCAGGAAACCTCTCCTTACTGGCGATGTATTTGTTGAAGGTGGACATATTATCACTCTGTAACCATGATTCTTTAGTTTCATGTTATATATCTACCTTGACCCCCGCACACGTTGACCCAGGTCTGCTGAGTCTGCACAATGAATACAGCATTCGTGCTGATCTCATCACACTCCTTCCCAGTGGCGTTAACGGCACATTCATGCTGTACGATACTTGCGCTGTAAAACAGATACTGATTCATCAATAGAGTTACATGTAGCGAAACTGATCACACATTCGTTCATGCATACATGCAGAGATTACTTCTGTGTACCCTGGTACGGGCACTACAAGTGTAACATGTTTTCATAGTCGGATTCGCCGAAATTGGGAAAGAAATATCATAATTTGGCGTTGCGTTAATGTCCTTATGTCGTATGGATGGCACGATTCTCTAAAAAAAAATCTACATGGTATAGGCTGTAGGCAAGCTCCACTGTTTGGTTCCATTTGGTGCCAATTGGTTGACGGGTGGTGACTGTTTGTACTTTTCGGGGATTAATGCCGTTTTTTTACCATGCATTTTCTCAATTTGACATGGATACCCCACTCAGACACAGGGTACTGACTCCAAGCCGATCAGTCCTTGTTTTATCCCCTTAATGCCGAATACCAAGTACCATCTTTTAAAAGCTTTTGGTATGACGAGAACGGGGATTGAACCACCGACCTTCCGCACTCCGGGCAGATACTCCGTCCACTAGACCACGGAGGACCACAAGAGAATATGTCCCATATGTGACTGATACGCCATTGCAAAATGAGTTACAAATTTATCGCCAAATCTGTTAACTAATTTCGGAAATGAATAGTGAGTGAGTGAGTTGGGTTTAACGCCGCTATTTACAGTATTCCAGTCATATCACGGCGTGTCGGCTTAATGTGGGAGGAAAGCCCGAAGTGATGCAGGTCTCACACGTTTACCACTTCGGTGAAACCCACGAGCACGGGTATAGTGCTGACAAACCTAGACACAAAATCGGGGCGAACCGGGATTCGAACCCACAATCATAGGTTTCTGGCGTGCCCAAGGGACGCAACTCTGCACAGCGAATCGCGGCGACTGAGACGACTGGGCCATCCGTGCCCCTTCGGAAATGAAAAAAACTTAAACTAGGAAATATTAAAACGTCTTGCAAATTTGCATCACCTACTAGCATTCGTCCAGTTGACTGTTGTGATATGATCCATAGTAATCCAATTCACACCGACAGGTGTCTGCCAGGGCTGAAAGTCATACAAACATTAACATAAATGAAGCGCAAAAATACTAATTTGAGTAAACTATTACCTACACAAATGATATCCTTTATTCTTTCATCTATATCTGTTTGGTTTTACAATTGTGTCCGATGCATATAGCTATGCCTCAGAGATTCATCTTTTTATTCTTGGTTTTTATTGAAAGACATTTTTACGTCAGATTGTACATCGAGTTCCCCAAGCGGGAATTGTGTCAATATTATATCATTACAAAATATGCAATAATTTAAGCTCAAGATTGAATATTTCTACAAATTCTGGTCTTCCTTTCATCTATTGTTTAATTGATTCATTTCGTTCATTTAATATACATGATAAAATCAACTTATAACGTTAAATTTTATACAAACTGGATGTATGAACAAAATGCAACAAAAATAAAACATAATAAAAAATATTTTCGGTCGAAATTTCAGGTTATCTCCATCAAAAAAATAGAAAATAGTCCATAACAAAATCAGAAAATTAAATATGGATATAAGACAATATGATATAATGTTATTTAAAATGTAAAAGTAAAATTAGTCAAAATAAGTGAACATACCAATACGGTGTATTCATGAAGTGATTTAAATGTGTCTGCTCAACCGGAAGTACCTGTGGTGTTAGAGGTTCGACTACACCACTTCAGCCTTCAGTGCAGATTGAATCATCTGGCACGGTTTTGTGTAAGTTTTTTATTTTCTTAAATGTACATTAATCCAGTAATTAAAACTGACCATGTTTTTCTATATCTAATGCATCTTTTTTAACATGATGATATTTTCAAGCAAGTGACATTTGGTGCGGAACTGGGGTGGAGTGGCTTCCTGTACTTGGAAAAAGAACTGGCTAAGCTAGTCATTTTTATTGCTGCGTTGAGGTCAGACTGTGCACACATATTCAGGTTATAGCTGTTGAATACGTAGTTGGGTTGTTTTTTAAATAGAACGTTGCAACAGAAGCTTCATTCGTCACCACTCGCCCCTTTCCGTAACCTTCAAGAAGACTCGCCCCACTATCGATGAATGTTATGTGCGAAAATACGACAAACCAATCAGAATGCGCGTATGACTTCACGTTCTTCATCAAAGAATCCCACAGGAATAATTTTTGTTTTTACATATGTCTTGCATCTAAAAATATACCCAAGACACAGTTAAATGTGTTCAATCATACCGTATAATTCCGCACATTCCGATGTGCTTTAAATTGCATCTGAAATTTATATAATATATGGGGAAATATATATGAAGCATTACGCAGCGAGTTGACAATTGTTTTAAGTATGCCCGTTTGCGCTAAGACGGAACCCGGTCGCAAAAATGGCCATGAGTGGGGCACAAATCGCTATTCGGCTTGTCCCGGAATAACCCGAGTTGGTCACGAATGCAGAAGCTTGTGGGAAGGCATTTCGTTGTGTGTAAGCGAGAAGGTCATGACCCCTCAAAATGTAACTCCGCAGCGACACCTAACGGTACTCACGACACGACGTGGACACACTGGAGTGAATTCTGTCCACCTCCGCCTTGGCCACCTTCAGTTTGATGGGCCGCGTGTCGCACCCGGCGCCTGTCGCCGACACCAAGCACTGGATGTACACCTTGGACGCCCTGTAACAACACGCTTATATGGATAACGTTTGTAAATAGATGATGTAAGTAATGTTGTTTTACGCCGCATTCAGCATGTTCCAGCTATTCCACAGCGGCATCTTCATTATTGAATTTGGGTCAGGCAAACCCGTGATTGAAAGCATCGATCCAGTCGGGGGCGATAGCATACTGTCAGTCAGTTTGAATTAATCATGCTCCAATATTTCTTTTCCTTTCAAACCGCTGTATATATCTAGTAGATAATAACACCATAACGTGTGAACGAACACAAAAGGGTGAATCTGAAACTTGATGAACAAATCTTTAAAACAACTTCTGCTCTTTAAACACTTCAAATAACAAATACGCTCACTTTTGCCCCTAAGTACATTCTCATTTTTCACATGCCTGTACAATGGTACAAATAAGTACCCTCAGATACATGTGTTCATGAATAACGATACAAGTTTATACAATTATGTAGGGTGGCCCAGTCGTCTAAGGCGCCGTTTGTCAGCACCACACCCGTGCTCGTGAGTTACACCAATGTGGTAAACGTCTAATAATTGCACCAGTTCGGGCTTTCCTCCCACATCAACAGGTAGCAGATAAAGTGAACCCATCAACCTTCATTCCAAAACAATCAAGGGTATCCATCCTTCGCATACGGCTCCGAATGATTGAGTAAGATTTTTATATGATCAATATTTCCAGCCAAATCACAGCGGGACACCAATAATGAATAAAAATGAACACATTGTACCAGCATGGTATTCAAAGTTTGGCGTTAGTCTACTCCACCGATCCACCAAACCAAGAACCCAACGTGTGCTCTAAAGATGGTTCTGGAACCTACGAGCATTTGCCTTCATCATCAGTTACACCTCTGATAATGATGTCGTAGTTGCTTTTGCATAGGTCACATGTCAATCCTGCAGCGGCCTGTACAACACCTGAAACAAATATTCATGAAATATACAGCGTATAGATAAGTATTGATGGAGTACAAAAAATGCAATGTGTTCACTGAATGCTTCCTCTGAACAAGTATCAGCTTCATCATTAAATAGGGCGGTCGGGTAGCCTAGTGGTTAAAGCGTTCGCTCGTCACGCCGAAGACCCGGGTTCGATTCCCGACATGGGTACAATGTGTGAAGCCCATTTCTGGTGTCCCCCGTCGTGATATTGCTGGAATATTGCTAAAAGCGACGTTAAACCATACTCACTCACTCACTCACTCACTCATCATTAAATAATCTCTGCATTTCCATTTTGTACAAAATTTTAGAAGAATTCATGATTTAGACATGGTTCCGTCCCACGGTTACAATAATTTGAAAGACATAATTCAACCACTAAATATAAAAGTCAAAGCCAGAAAAAATCAGTTTCGATTACTGCAGAAACAGATTCAATTGGGCGTTAAAGGCAAAATGGATAACTGAACATCAGCGAGACACCAGGGCCCCGTTCCACAAAGCGATCTTAGTGTTACGACTGGCGTAATCCTGTGTTAAAGTATGGGAGTTACGATCATCTTAGCGCTAAGATCGCTTTGTGGAACGGGGCCCTGGTGTTCGTGAAAATGCCAAAAATAGTAGCATTGCAATACATACTTACCCAAAACCAAAAGAAATATGTGAGATCGAGCCATTTCTTGTACATTCCCTGGAGAGTGATCAGTGCACTCGAAGGATGACAACATGATATATAGATGGGTTAACCCTGTGGCCACATACGGATGGGCACGGGTGCGGTGCGTTGACTGTTAAATTGTTTTGTGTCGCATGGCCTGTCGTTATTCATCTGTGAATAATGTAATTGTTATCTGAAGATAAATTTACTATGACGAGAGGCGTGTCCTGGAATACGTGTTTTTGGTTTGTCGCTGATGCTATTAATTCGTGAGCTAGTGATAGTTTTATAATTTAAATCTTAGTCATAAGTCACACTTATTTGTTTCTCGTTATCTCAACTTTCTCAACATTAGTATTTGATTATCTTATTGGCCCAGACAACACAACACACGATAATCGCGATCATCGGGACACGCGGTACTACAAACATAAAAAACACGACACAAAAACACAACACAAAAATAAGATGACACAAAGACACCACACTACACCACACAACACAACACAACACAACACAACACAACACAACACCACACAACACCACACCACACAACACAACACAACACCACACCACACCACACCACACCACACCACACCACACCACATCAATACAACACCACACACGACACACGCAGCACTACCATCAAACAAAAACCACACGTATAAGCCGATACTAAAACATGACAACACAAAATTAAGACGACACAAAAACACCACACCACGCCACGCCACGCCACGCCACGCCACGCCACGCCACGCCAATACAACAGTGTGGTATTTCACTATACATTCCTCAAATTCAAATAATATTATTTGTTAAATATATGCCGTAGGAAACATGTGTTTGTTAATGAACATTTTAAAATTAATTTTTGAATCATTCATGCTTTGATTCGTTTGTTCATTCATTATTATTCCTTCTTATGTTTTACAACATAGTAATGATTATCTAATAACGTTATATTCAGAAACCAAATACGAGGCCAAGGCTACAGCTTGTATGTATACTTATAGTAAATCGAACAAACAAATTATGTTACATTATTAAATATCCTTTATCAGCTATATATCGATTGTTTCAAATATACATGTCTTTTGGATCAAATTGAAAGCATTATTTAATCATTTTGATGGCAATATGGGATTTTTACACAACCTCCGAGCTCACGTGACCGGAATAAAACAGTTTCACGTGGCGCAATGAAAGAACGCTGTGACACGTATTGATCTAAAGAGTGTTCAGCTATGTTGTTCAAAATGTATTGTGAAATTAGATCCACATTTAACCCCATGGGGGCTGCTGTGGATGATCGTACAAGGCGATTTTGCTGAGAGCGAGTGCCTAATTCGTGATCTAAATAAAGACAACGAAAGTCGAACCTCGTTAAATAGTACCCTTGCTATTCAGGTACACTACCCACACTTGTTCGTACGGATGTACTTAATTCTATTAACTAAGATTACAATCGCAATTTTGTTCGCGGTCATCGATTGTCCGAGGCTCAAAATTATATATCCTAATATATATGTCCTATAATGTATATCCTGAAATATATATCCTAAGATGTATATCCTGAAATATATATCTGAAATATATATCTGAAATATATATCCAACAATGTATATCCTGAAATATATATCCTACAATGTATATCCTGAAATATATATCCTACAATGTATATTCAGAAATATATATCCTAAAATATATATCTAAAATATATATCAACAATGTATATCCTGAAATATATATCCTACAATGTATATCCTGAAATATATATCCTAAAATATATATCCTAAAATATATATCTGAAATAAATATCTAACAATGCATATCCTGAAATATATATCCTACAATGTATATCCTGAAATATATATCCCACAATGTATATTCAGAAATATATATCCTAAAATATATGTCTAAAATATATATCCCACAATATATATCCTACAATATATATCCTGCAATGTATATGCTACAATGTATATCCATTTGTTAAATGCTATAACACAATAAGAACGAGAGATCTATGAATTCTATTTCTTGTCTACAACTTGTCTATTTAATTCATTTAACCAAACATATCCATGAAGAAATAATCAATTAATCTTTTATACGCTACACAGAAGCATAGAAGCACACGAAGAGACAGAGACAAACACGCACACACGTAAATAGCATACGCACATGCGGAGACAAACGCATACACATATACAGGTGCACACTCACACGCATATGGAGACAGAGACCCTCGCACACTTATATAAACTATGTAACAATAGAAAGTATACACCCATGTTTTTTTATGGTGGCCAAAAACGAAACAAACAAGAAATTGTTATTCGACGGTGATGTATTTGATACGGGTATCATAGTTGTGTTTTGGACCTTACGTTTCCAGTGTTTCTGGAACTGTTTTCAGACCTGTGACGTTTTGATAACGTTTGTCATTTGTGGGTCAAATCCAATTTTCAAGTGTATAGATTTTTTCGCCCTGTGGTTTAGACGCACACGCAAACGCTTATATAGACACCGACATACAAAACGCATAAACGTGTAATTGTACACAATTGTCCTGAATCATTTCCTGAAAATTTATCCTTTTATAATCCGAAAAGAAATTATTGTCTCCATCTCCAGTTTTATCCTGCAATAAAAACCCAGACGGTAGTTTTCAACGACGTGATTGGTCATGGACAACGTTTCGAGTGCAAATCGCACACAAACTGATACTGTGTGGTATCCTCACAAAGGAATATTTTGTTCTAGATCTGATCTGCAAATACTGTATCGATGAAATTCATGCATGAAATTGGCAGAAAGCATTTAACACGATTTACAGCAACGCCTGCGTAACATCTATGATGGAAAACTCACTTAGCTTCCTGGACAGTTTCTGGTCTGTGTTGTATCGCGTGTTAACCTGACATAACACGTCGGCTTGGATCTGACGGATCTGTGGTCTGGCTAGACTCAGTAGTAAGCTATCCATCACGCTGGCATAACTGGTCATAGACGGACCCAGAAGGGGGTCCAGGGGGTCCAGGGGGTCCAGAAGGTCCAGACCCCCCACCCCGCTTTGGAAAACCAAATGGAGTGTGTTGTAGACAACCCTCCCCTACATTTGGTTTTCCAGGGGTCCAGACTTATACTACCAGACCACCTTATTCTACCAGACCACCTTATACTACCAGACCACCTTATACTACCAGACCACCTTATACTACCGACCACCTAACACTACCAGACCACCTAATACTACCAGACCACCTAACACTACCAGATCACCTTATACTAGCAGACCACCTTATACTAGCAGACAACCTTATACTACCAGATCACCTTATACTACCAGAACACCTTATGCTACCAGACCACCTAACACTACCAGACCACCTTATACTACCAGACCACCTTATACTAGCAGACCACCTTATACTACCAGATCACCTTATACTAGCAGACCACCTTATACTAGCAGACCACCTTATACTGCCATACCACCTGATACTACCAGACCCCCGACCCCTTTGGAAAACCAAATGTAGTGCTGTGTGTTGTGGACAACCCTCCCCTACATTTGGTTTTCCAGGGGTCCAGACTTATACTACCAGACCACCTAATACTACCAGATCACCTATACTACCAGACCACCTTATACTACCAGACCACCTTATACTACCAGATCACCTTATACTAGCAGACCACCTTATACTAGCAGACCAACTTATACTGCCATACCACCTGATACTACCAGACCCCCGACCCCTTTGGAAAACCAAACCAACTGCTGTGTGTTGTGGACAACCCTCCCCTACATTTGGTTTTCCAGGGGTCCAGACTTATACTAGCAGACCACCTGATACTACCAGACCCCCGACCCCTTTGGAAAACCAAATGTAGTGCTGTGTGTTGTGGACAACCCTCCCCTACATTTGGTTTTCCAGGGGTCCAGACTTATACTTCCAGACCACCTTATTCTACCAGACCACCTTATACTACCAGAACACCTTATACTACCAGCCCACTTAACACTACCAGACCACCTCACACTGCCAGAAACCTATATACTACCAGACCACCTTATACTAGCAGACCACCTTATACTAGCAGACCACCTTATACTACCAGATCACCTTATACTAGCAGACCACCTTATACTACCAGATCACCTTATACTAGCAGACCACCTTATACTAGCAGACCACCTTATACTAGCAGATCACCTTATACTACCAGACCACCTTATACTAGCAGACCCCCTTATACTGCCATACCACCTGATACTACCAGATCACCTTATACTAGCAGACCACCTTATACAAGCAGACCACCTTATACTACCAGATCACCTTATACTAGCAGACCACCTTATACTACCAGATCACCTTATACTAGCAGACCACCTTATACTAGCAGACCCCCTTATACTGCCATACCACCTGATACTACCAGATCACCTTATACTAGCAGACCACCTTATACTACCAGATCACCTTATACTAGCAGACCACCTTATACTAGCAGACCCCCTTATACTGCCATACCACCTGATACTACCAGATCACCTTATACTAGCAGACCACCTTATACAAGCAGACCACCTTATACTACCAGATCACCTTATACTAGCAGACCACCTTATACTACCAGATCACCTTATACTAGCAGACCACCTTATACTAACAGATCACCTTATACTAGCAGACCACCTTATACTAGCAGACCACCTTATACTAGCAGACCCCCTTATACTGCCATACCACCTGATACTACCAGACCCCCGACCCCTTTGAAAAAACCAAACGTAGTGCTGTGTGTTGTTTGGTTTTCCAGGGGTCAAGACCCCCGACCCCCTTTGGAAAACCAACTGCTGTGTTTTGTAGACAACCCTCCCCTACATTTGGTTTTCCAGGGGTCCAGACTTATACTTCCAGACCACCTTATTCTACCAGACCACCTTATACTACCAGAACACCTTATACTACCAGGCCACCTTATACTACCAGAACACCTTATACTACCAGAACACCTAATACTACCAGATCATCTAACACTACCAGACCACCTTATACTACCAGACCACCTTATACTACCAGACCACCTCACACTGCCAGAAACCTATATACTACCAGACCACCTCACACTGCCAGAAACCTATATACTACCAGACCACCTTATACTACCAGACCACCTAGCTCACACTACCAGATCACCTAACACTAGCAGACCACCTTATACTAGCAGACCACCTTATACTACCAGATCAACTTATACTAGCAGACCACCTTATACTACCAGATCACCTTATACTAGCAAACCACCTTATACTAGCAGACCCCCTTATACTGCCATACCACCTGATACTACCAGATCACCTTATACTAGCAGACCACCTTATACAAGCAGACCACCTTATACTACCAGATCACCTTATACTAGCAGACCACCTTATACTACCAGATCACCTTATACTAGCAGACCACCTTATACTAGCAGACCCCCTTATACTGCCATACCACCTGATACTACCAGATCACCTTATACTAGCAGACCACCTTATACTAGCAGACCACCTTATACTACCAGATCACCTTATACTAGCAGACCACCTTATACTAACAGATCACCTTATACTAGCAGACCACCTTATACTAGCAGACCACCTTATACTAGCAGACCCCCTTATACTGCCATACCACCTGATACTACCAGACCCCCGACCCCTTTGAAAAAACCAAACGTAGTGCTGTGTGTTGTTTGGTTTTCCAGGGGTCAAGACCCCCGACCCCCTTTGGAAAACCAACTGCTGTGTGTTGTAGACAACCCTCCCCTACATTTGGTTTTCCAGGGGTCCAGACTTATACTTCCAGACCACCTTATTCTACCAGACCACCTTATACTACAAGAACACCTTATACTACCAGGCCATATACTACCAGAACACCTTATACTACCAGAACACCTTATACTACCAGACCACCTCACACTGCCAGAAACCTATATACTACCAGACCACCTCACACTGCCAGAAACCTATATACTACCAGACCACCTTATACTACCAGACCACCTTATACTACCAGACCACCTTATACTACCAGGCCACCTTATACTTCCAGACCACCTCACACTACCAGATCACCTAACACTACCAGATCACCTTATACTACCAGACCACCTTATACTACCAGGCCACCTTATACTACCAGACCACCTTATACTACCAGGCCACCTTATACTACCAGACCACCTCACACTGCCAGAAACCTATATACTACCAGACCACCTTATACTACCAGACCACCTTATACTACCAGACCACCTTATACTACCAGGCCACCTTATACTACCAGACCACCTCACACTACCAGATCACCTAACATTACCAGATCACCTTATACTACCAGACCACCTTATACTACCAGGCCACCTTATACTACCAGACCACCTTATACTACCAGGCCACCTTATACTACCAGACCACCTCACACTGCCAGAAACCTATATACTACCAGATCAACTTATACTACCAGATCAACTTATACTAGCAGACCACCTTATACTACCAGATCACCTTATACTAGCAAACCACCTTATACTAGCAGACCCCCTTATACTGCCATACCACCTGATACTACCAGATCACCTTATACTAGCAGACCACCTTATACTAGCAGACCCCCTTATACTGCCATACCACCTGATACTACCAGATCACCTTATACTAGCAGACCACCTTATACTAGCAGATCACCTTATACTAGCAGACCACCTTATACTACCAGACCACCTTATACTACCAGACCACCTTATACTACCAGACCACCTTATACTACCAGACCACCTCACACTGCCAGAAACCTATATACTACCAGACCACCTCACACTGCCAGAAACCTATATACTACCAGACCACCTTATACTACCAGACCACCTTATACTGCCAGAGGAACCGCATCCGTGGTCTAGTGGTAGAGTGTCCGCCCGGACGGCCGCGTCATACCAAAAATCGTTAAAATATGGTACTTGTTGTTACCCTGTCTGGCGGTCGGCATTAAGGGGCTAAAACAAGGATTGGTCGGTATACTGTGTCTGAGCGATATTCATGTTAAACTGCGGCATGGTATATACTGCCAGACCACCTTATACTGCCAGACCACCCTATACTACCAGACCATCTTATACGTGCCAGGGTCTCATTATCTACCAGACTGGCTACGTGTTCCAGACTCATCTATTTAAACCAGGCATACAAGTTGAGAAGGATCCATTCCATGTTTAAACCAATTAAACCTAAAGCTCTTGTTAAGCAAACAAAGCCTGTATCCTCCATACACCGGCTTTTATCCGAAAATGTTTTTTTGGTTCGGATGAGTGAATAAAACTGACATACTCCACGACTCCAATACTCTTTAACCCCTGTCAATATACAGCGTGTGACAAAAGTCTGTATATCGATTGTAATGTTTTCCCCGATTCAAAATCTATCACAGACAATACACGGTTCAGATGTTTTATTCAAAGGCAGCATTCAAAGGTTATACATAGAAAATACCTGACTATAACACCACATCCAATATCCCACACTCAAGTATTTACACGAATAACAATATGCATGTATCAATAAAATATGTGAGTGTATTTCTATTGAAGGCAAACGTCTACATTTCTGTTCAAAATCAATATATGCTTGTTTCAATTTCTCCGTCGTGGAACAGCACGCCTAGGTGAGCGTTCTGCGTGTGTGGTCGCCAAAGATACGCTGGCATCCCGAGCGGTTTACTGCTGAGCACTATGTTAATCAAGATCACAGTTCTAACAAGGACTGTGTTAGATTATTTTGTTGTTGTTGTGGATGAGTCCGATGCATAGCCATGTTGAACGAAACGATGGATATGTTTTGGACAAGGTCTCCTTCTGAAGGGGAGATTCCACGATTTGACAGTGACAACATTCTGTCCTATTTGGCTTCTCTCCGGAAGGACAAAAACGCCACAAGAGGAAGGGAAAGGTTTCGTGAAGGATACATTCACAACGTCTTTGTCACCAAGCCTAACGGAAGTGACAGGATGTACTTAAAGGCAAAATGTGGACAGAAGACGTATCAACATTGTTACGACATATGTGTCGAACTATCCCGGAGCACGGCCGATGTCGTAAAAGCTGAATGCACGTGCAATCCATATAGGTAAGTACTATATTGTGTGAAAGACATGACGTTTAGAACAAGCCTGAATTGAAAGAATACGCCAAAGTGCATTAACCTTCGTGTTATTATCCACGAGGATCCCACCCAATTGTATCGTAAATGTTGTTTGAATGAATCCGCCATGTGGGTTATTGATTATGAATTGTTAACATTCAAGGGGTCAATTAGATATTGACAGCGCAGCATGTAAACCACGTGCGTTATGCCCGAGGCTTGTTTGATAAAACCTGTCGCACAATGGATGTTTTTCCCTCATACAATGCATTATTAAGCATCAACAAGCCATTGGAATTTCCTATTATCAGTGGCTATTTTCATTCGATTTATTCGAAAACGAGAATATGAGCTGCAAGTGAAACTGAATATCAACTGCGTTTTATAGCATGTTAGTCCTCCAAGTTTCCTAACTAGGTTATGCGTATGAGGTATAATACACGCCCGTGCGTATATGTTAGATAAAAAAGCATATGTGGACACATTTTTGTACAGTTATTAGAAAACGAAACATGGGTATGTCATGGCTTAAGAGATTAATAAAAATAGGAATGATGATTGATTTGTCTTCTAAAACCCCACACGTTATAACAATTGTTATAAATGCCGCAGTAATTACACTCTTTAGGACACTTAACATTATCCACATAATTTGGTAATCAATTCCTGTTCGAAATACCAAAACAAACGCCGTCATCAATTGAAAGTGGGTCATTGACCAAAGAGGAAAAATGTGTGCTTTAAGGCCATTGACCCAAAAAAAACTGTTTAATTAATTAAATTAAATATAAACATTAAAGAGTACAGATATGAATGCCCGAGTCTCTTTTCTCGTTATAGCGACTGACTGTCCCAGTGCTGTCTATTGTGACTATCGGTTATTCTGTGTGAAGTCAACGCCAGCGATATGGGACGCGGAGATAATTACCCTTGACATTACCGATATACTTTCTCTTCATCAATAATTAATGCATCTCTCATCATATTACATATGCCCTGTTTCAGGAAACACACGGCCGCCTGCAAGCACGTTGTCGGGTTGTTGTATGAGTTTGACGACTTCTGGCAATCGGGACTTACGGAGCTGCAACCTCAGTACCATCCTCACGAACACGTGTGTCGGAGAAGGCCGATCAACGTCCGGGAGGGTTCTCGGTAAACATCGCGAACACTATTTCAGAAACCAAAGGTTGTAAAAAAACACTGCTGATTGTCGATTTGTACTGTAATCAAAATATGAAAAAAATTGCTACGAGGTCTTCATAACTCGAAAGTCTCAATGACCCAAACTGGTGTAGTGTTAGCGATGTAATAGTTTTTTCTGCTATAACCGATTTCGTTATATCGGGGGGAACATTAAGATTAATTTTGTTTGGAAATAGTCAAGAAGGAATGAGTGAGTGAGTTAAACTTGAACGACGCGGCGGCGTTATTTCATCAAAGTTGCCACAAGAACAAATTATTGATAGCTCGAAGCATGTTATATAAATAAACTGCAGGTCAACTATAGAACTTGGAAAGTAAATTTGACCCAGAAACTACAAACGTCAAAACGTTAATAGGCTGAAAACAGTCTCTGATACACTGCAAACTTATGGCCCGAACTAATTTATGATACCCGTATTTAATACATCACTAAGGAATAGGGGGCACGGGTGGCCCAGTCGTCTAAGGCGCCGCGATTCGCTGTGCAGAGTTGCGTCCCTTGGGCACTCCAGAAACCTATGATTGTGGGTTCGAATCCCGGTTCGCCCCAATTATGTTTCTAGGTTTGTCAGCACCATACCCGTGCTCGTGTGTTTCACCGAAGTGGTAAACGTCTGAGACCTGCATCACTTAGGCTTTCCTCCCACATCAAGCTGACACGCCGTGATATAACTGGAATACTGTTAAAAGCGGCGTTAAACCCAACTCACTCACTCACTATGGAATAACTAATTCTTGTTTTTGTTTTTATTTTAAGCCACCATTAACGTTTGCCCGGCAGTTTACATCAAAGTTATATTTTAAAGTAAATCCGTTAAATATATTTCAGCGTAACAAAAATATTTACATTTGTTTACTTTCCATTCATGAAGAAGGGATACATGTTATAACAATTTATAACAAGAATTATGACAGTATTAACATCAACAAGAATCGGTATAGATATGAATATTTGATTATGAATTTATCTGAAATGGATCGTTGTATTGACATTATTAATAGAAAAATACAGAAAGTCGCAGATTACATGATGCGTAGTAAGGTGTTCTAATGTGTGTGTGATTTATTATATTTTATGTTTTTCTCATTGTTTTGTTGTGATTTTATTTTGTTGTTTTCTTTGATATTGTTCTTTGATCAGTGGATATTCTGTACTGTTGTTGTTTCTGGTGAGTGGGAGTTGTTGTTTCTGGGGTTCTTTTGCCTAGGTGGGTGTTGTTGTTTCTGGTGAGTGGGTGTTGTTGTTTCTGGAAGAGTGTTGTTGTGCCTAAGTGGGTGTTGTTGTGCCTAAGTGGGTGTTGTTGTTTCTGGAAGGGTGTTGTTGTTTCTGGTGAGTGGGTGTTGTTATTTCTGGAAGGATGTTGTTTCTGGGTGGGTGTTGCTTAGCCTGATTGGGTGTTGTTGTTTCTGGGTGGGTGGGTGGGGATTGTGTTTTTGTGTGTTGTGGCAGATGGGGTTATTCTGTCGCGCGTGCGTCTTCGTGTGGTGAACCTCATAGGGTTTGGTGCTTAAGGTCACGCGTGTATCTATATGCCTGCTTCATCAACACGTGATGCATCTCACAACAACGATATTACCATATGCAAAACAAGTTTCAATTCCATCGTCATGGTTACTGCAATGGCAGGACTATATTTGGTAGCTACATCGCCCAAAAGGCTGGTGCTGGACGAGGAGACTAGCAATCAGGACAATTATCCTCGGTTACGTGCAGTGGTATATTTAGCTAAATAGAGAGCTAAGCCATGTTTGTATAGAAATATATTAGCTTATATGAATGGACACATTTGGTTTTATACACGGATAACTGATACTGTGCAAATGAGTGAGTATAGTTTTATGCCGCTTTTAGCTATAATTCAGTAATATCACGGCGGGGGACACCAGGAATTGGCTTCACACATTCGGCGTGACGAGCGATCGCTTAAACCACTAGGCTATGCCACAACCACTTTACTGTGTGAGGAAATAGAATGGGTTATAAGAAGAAATTAGTACCGAGAAGAAAATTAGTTTCTCTGAGGATTTGACTTGATATGATTATGTTATATGCAACATATTGAGTTATACATGACCATATTTGGACGAATGTGGTACCATATTGGGCGTTTGAGACTAGTTGTGGTTGTAAACAAGGATAAAAATGGTTGTATACAAGGATAAATATGGTTGTCAATAAGGATAAATGTGATTGTAAACAAGGATATATGTGGTTGTATACAAGGATAAATATGGTTGTATACAAGGATAAATGTGATTGTAAACAAGGATAAATGTGGTTGTATACAAGGATAAATATGGTTGTATACAAGGATAAATGTGGTTGTATACAAGGATAAATGTGGTTGTATACAAGGATAAATATGGTTTTATACAAGGATAAATGTGATTGTAAACAAGGGTAAATGTGGTTGTATACAAGGATAAATGTGGTTGTATACAAGGATAAATATGGCTGTAAACAAGGATAAATGTGGTTGTATACAAGGATAAATATGGTTGTATATTAAGATAAATATGGTTGTATACAAGGATAAATATGGTTGTATACAAGGATAAATGTGGTTGTAAACAAGGATAAATGTGGTTGTATACAAGGATAAATATGGCGTATACAAGGATAAATGTGGTTGTATACAAGGAAAAATGTGGTTGTATACAAGGATAAATGTGGTTGTAAACAAGGATAAATGTGGTTGTATACAAGGATAAATATGGTTGTAAACAAGGATAAATGTGGTTGTATACAAGGATAAATATGGTTGTATAGAAGGATAAATGTGGTTGTATACAAGGATAAATGTGGTTGCATAAAGGAATAAATTGGGTTGTATAAAGGAATAAATTGGGTTGCATAAAGGAATAAATTGGGTTGTATAAAGGAATAAATTGGGTTGTAAAAAGGAATAAATTGGGTAGTATAAAGGAATAAAATGGGTTGTATAAAGGAATAAATTTGGTTGCATAAAGGAATAAATTGAGTTGCATAAAAGAATAAATTGGGTTGCATAAAGGAATAAATTGGGTTGTATAAAGGAATAAATTGGGTTGTATAAAGGAATAAATTGGGTGGTATAAAGGAATAAATTAGGTGGTATAAAGGAATAAATTGGGTTGAACACATGAATAAATTGGGTTGCATGTAGAAATATATCTCGATGTGTCCAGGATTATTTGTAGCTTAATCTGAGGATTATGTTGGGTTGGAGGCAGGATAAAATAGAGTTATAGCCCTAACTATTATGTTTTTGTGCTGGATAAAATTAGGGTTGTGTGCTATATCGGATGTTGCTTGATTTCGTTTATTTGATTATTTCAAAATGAATACTTTTGTCAGATTAATTTAATTGTAAATAATGTACGGAGAAAAAGTACTTTTCATCGTGTTCCCAGACATGATCACGGTTGTCGACACAAAAACACAGCCGGACCCTACCGTTAATAATGGTCCATGTATGGTCGAGTCCATTGTTACATCACAGGTGCCTAAGTCCAGGAAAAATGTATAGTTTTTCTAATGAATCAACTTCAAAACAGCTACCTGCTTACCCACCACCTAATAATGGTATACTCTTGATAAAATTCTGTTCTCGAATTTATCACTCTGGTTTACCAGTAATTTCTCGTGTGCCATATTGATTAGAAACGTGTTTTCGTCACGTGTTTCGTCAGCTTTGTTATTCTTATTGCTGGCGTTTTTATATATATTTGTTTTAACAATACTATTTTGCCACTGTTTCACACATTTTCCCGAGGCAAGGGAGTTTAAAGTCCAGTTACCACCCTTGTCGAACAAGACTGAAATTTCTGAGTCATATCTTGGCTGGCCAAACGAGCCTGTACATAGTCCAATCAAAATCGCCGGTTCGAAAACAACATGGCGACTGCCGTGAAGATTTTGGTCGATTGCAGGATTTGCAAAACATGTGTACCGTCAACTGGGCGTCGGCGGATATTTCCAAACCTTTTCATGTGTTTAATCAAGTTACTCAAGTGCTTTGATGCACTTCGCGAGGTGAGACCCGTTTTATTAAATATAGATATTGATTATCGATCAGATCGTCTTGACTGGGCTCCGCCATTTTGCTTGAAGCAAAATCAAGTGATATGATAGGTGGAATCTGATTGGTCAATAGGAGAGACATAAAATGGACATAACTAGTATTAGCCACTGGTAGAGCTACGATCGAGCCACTAAATTCCAACCGAGTTCGGCAAGGGTGGAAATTCGAGCTACTTAACTCCCTTGTCCCAGGAAGATGTGTTTTAAAGTATATGTACGTCTTCATAACCACTTTTAGGGTGTGAAGTTTTGGCCACTGTGTATCACAGTATTACAAAACCACTACGTTTGCTTGTTGAAGCACAATTTCTAATTAAAGACACTCTCTATTGAGAGTTTATATATTTTTCACGAATAATCGTCATTTTATCTACTCTTCCTATATTCGACATTGTTGATTGCTCATTTCTTGCTAATTGGCAATCTTCGTTTACCAAGGTTTACTCTTCAGTGTTTCGATTGATGGGTTCCATTTTAAACGATTTACTCATACATGAATTCACGTAAAAATTGATAAAAGCGGTAAACCCTTTCCGCATTCATCATAACAATAAAAGCGATAATCCTTTCCATATTCATAAGAAATCTCTGCCAAAAACAGTCGATTTTAAGATCCGACTATATCATCAGCACCTGTCTCTGAATCATTGAGCGTATCCAGCGTTAGTAATCTCTGCCAGAAGATTGTACGATTCTGACTGTATCATTACCCTTTTCGCGAACACCCGGTGTCATTACTGATTGTCAATGGTCGATGCCTATAATTGTCACAACTTTTTGCCCTTTATTGTTTTGGCGGATAATCTAGACTGGTTATTCTCTTGCATTGACAATTTATATTATAAATCAGTATCAAATAGTGATGGTGGCAGGTGTTCACAAGTTATCCATTAGCGATGAAAGCCACGATGTGATTGGACGGTTCGGTGGTGCCACGAATCTGATTGGCTAGCACATTTGTGGTGGGGATATGGGAAACTGGAATAACCTTGGAAATCGAAGATGATATGCTTTGTGACAGAGCATTGCACATGTTGTTTTGCTACTCAAATTGTACGTATTTATGCTATTTTTTATGAACCCATTGTCCTTTTATACACCTTGAGTGTGTGCAATCGTTTACAATTGTCTACATTCTTTGCCTATATGTGATCTCACATTATTCATTCTAGCACTTACCATATTATGGATTTAATAAATACGATCAATTTTCTATCATGCTTGCCATTCATTGTGTTAATTATTTTACATGGACTGAACGTCACAAAGATGGAAATATATGCAACTAAACCTCTCTCTGCTAAAAGAGTTCATTGTACGATTCCGATTTTTCGCTGTGCAGAGTTGCGTCCCTTGGACACGCCAGAAACCTATGAGCATGAGTTCGAATCCCGGTTCGTCCCGATTATGTTTCTAGGTTTGTCAGCACCATACCCGTGCTCGTGGGTTTCACCGAAGTGGTAAACG